TTTTTTTTTTTTTTGTTCCAGAACAAATAGAGAGTAGGGCCGGTTTCAACCGCTTTTGATCAGTCTACGAGAATGTCGCTAACAAATTAGTAGCACGATGCTGTCCATTGATTCAGTGGCCAGCAATTGTCTCAGTTTTCGAGACATAAATATCTTCTTGGTGTGGCTTGTTGAAAATCTTCTTCGCTTATTTCAGCCAACACCAGGAAAGGATTCAAATTAGAGGAGGGCTGTTTCATTGGTGGGGTTGACCCCAAGGAACCCTTCTGATCAGTCAGGGTTGATTCCGTTGTTGTCGCCATGGTGACGCTCCGTTCAGGTCTTTTCCGAGAATTTCTGCGTTTCCTGCCTTGAAATTTCCAAACATCATTAGAAATATTAGATCCCAAAATATCAGGCATTTCAACAGTAGTTCCGACATGTTTGGAGCCCATATTCTCTCCCGCGTCTTGGCGAGATTCTTGGAGCAAATTCTGAGTGTATTCTTGGTTGAGTCCCAGATCTTTCTCATCAGTAGATCCGAAAGCCATGTCCATACCATTGCTGACTACACTCAGGTCAAGCACCTCGTCGTTTCCCATAGTCAAGTCCATTGCCAGAGAGCTGGAAGGAGTCACGTTTGCAAGGGAAGAGAGTTCGAGCTTTCCAGAAACATTCTTGTGTGGTCTGCTTGGGTGCGGTTCCTGGTAGTCGTTCTCATCTATGTCGGCCAAAACTAGAAAAGGATTATTAGAAAGAGGAGATTTGGCGACGGGACATTCTGGTTTACTGGTGATTTCCTTGTAAGAAACAACTGTCCCAGTCCCAGAAGCTGATTCCACTTTTGTGCCAGTTCTTTTGCGAGAATTTCTGCGCTTTCTCCCCTGAACTTGCCACCCAGACTCCATGTCAATATCTGGGTTAGCGGCAGGCAGCAGAGCGATGGTTTCCACTTTGGACGTCTCAAGTTCCCCATTGAGAATAGAATTGTTGTCCGGGATCAAGTTTCCTTGCGTTCTTTTGATCTCATCAGTCTCAGTGTAGTCTACAACTACGGCTGGCTTCATAAAGATACCACCAGCCAAGGAGCCAAGCTTTGAGTCTGAAATAGAAGAAAGAACGGAAGAAGCACCAGTGTCCCCGTCGGACAATTCCCAAAAGCTACCGTCGCTTGATGGAGAGAAGGCAGTAGAGCAGTCTGTTTCTGTGGCCTTTGAATGTCTGGGATGAAAGGGACCAGAGGCAACAGCAATTTGAATTGAGATGAAATCAGCATTAGTGTTCCCACCAAGAGTCAGAATCTCAGGCTCAGCCCTAGAGGGGCCATAGTAGTATTCTTCGATTTGAACAACGTTCAAGTCCATGGTGGCAGATTCTGCCTGGACCGAGAGTTCAATAAGGAGAACGACAAGAAAATAGCCTGTGAGGCAGAGCGCGGCGAATTCCGAAACGCAATTGATGAGTCTGAAGCAAAAAATCACTTGTGCAATCATGCTGAAGCGTATGTTCGTGAAGAAGGGAGTGATGGACGAGAGTTTGCAAAAGGTGGAGCGAACACCTGTTTATATAGGAAAAGTGACTTTTTGCAGTCGGCCGCCTAACAAAGTATGGCTGCGAAATCAGGCTGTCGATTCGCGGATCGGCATCTATGTCGAGTTGCATAATAACTGTGAGGGACCCCGGGAAGACATACGTGCTCATGCCCTATATTATCACAAGTTCGAAATAATATGGGCGACGATTCTGGTATTTAGATTAGGTGGATCAAATGGGGAAAAGTTTTAGATGTTGGACGTCATTTCATTAGGGTTTTGACATAATATCTGACGGCACCCAAACAGATGTGCATAGATGGAGCAGGTGCTTTCGGAGATCATCGGCAAAAACTGATACTAGGATCTGAGATCTATACTCTCACGATTTCCACTAGCTTATGTTTCATGCGATGCCCTGGATTGACAAAAATACCAGCTTACTGTATTCACTGTGTTCTGTACTAGTACCAAAAATACCAGCACACTGTGTCTATTACGTTCTTGGCTGATACGGGCAACACCCGCTATCCTGTTTTAATATTAATAACTTGACATCCATCTTCCGTCTTGCCCTTGATTTCTTGGACGCCTGTTCGCAGGCATTCTAGTCACACGTGGGGGTTCATGCCAGTTGCAGCAGAGATCAACTCGCCGCCCTCTTACTGAACTTTAATAGAGCCAAATCCTCACATCCGCCAAGAAGGCTATGACGAGAAGAGCGCATAAATATCTGATTGCTGGTGGCTTGAAGGATTAGTGTCAATGGGCGCGAAAGAGGGAACACCTAATCTAGGTCAAGCTATAGCCTGGTGTCGGATATCACCTCTTAGTATTGCAAGCGTCCATGTCTTTTTATTGTCGCTGATATTATCTGAAGAGCTGAGTGATGGAAGGGGGAAAATTATTCTGTGACTTGTCGATATAGGGATGGCCCGGAGGCTTCTAGAGCCGGCGTGTCTATAGGCCACTAATCTGCGGAGATGCACACCCCACTGCAAAAGTGCCCGTTCATACCGTTGTCTTTATTTCCCCTTCGATGCTACTAGAATCTTGCGATGCCACTAGATCTTGATGCTACCACTACTACAATCTTTTGCTGCTACTGCCAACTTTCGGTCCTACTGCAATCTTGCGATGCTACTACAATCCTGCGATGCTACTAAAAACTTCCGATCTGCAACCTTCCGATACTACTACAACCCTTCGATGCTACAAAAATCTTTTGTTGCTACTTCAACCCTTCGATGCTACTACAACCTTTCGATACTACTACAACCTTTCGATACTACTACAACCCTTCGATGCTACTACAAACATTCGATGCTTCTACAGACATTCGATGCTTCTACAGACATCCGATTTTACTCCAAACTTCCGATGCTACTAGAATCCACAATATTCCCGTTTTTCTGGTCGTTCCACCTCCCAGTTTATTTACTGCAAAGCCACACTGGGCTCGGGTACTGCACAGCGCCGCCAGACCCAGGCCGCGTCCCAAGCCGTGCGTCACGTGACCCAGGCATTGGTGGCCGTGTCTGTTTCTCCCATACTACTTCGTCTCGCAAGATATCGCCCACAACACTCACTGCAATGGAAAAGCGTCGCAGCGAGTGTGAGCCGATGTGCTGCGTGGGGGCCGGTGGGAGGAAGAGGGGGCTGGTTGGAGGAAGAGGGGCGGTATTGGGAGGGGGCGTGGGGAAGGGGCTGTATTCAAAAACCTCGTTTATTAACATCCTCACTTCATTAACATTCTCTCTGCTTCTAAATTTTGGTATTAACCTACTCTCTTTACTAATCCACTCGCATATAGACCTACTTGGTGTGTTGACACCGTTGTAGTTTTCTCGTTTTATTGACTATTTGCTGGAATGCCTGGGGCTAGCTCCAGTAACCCCGAGATAAATGCAGATGCTGCCTCAAAGGCCACCAGCACGACTCAGATTCTCGTGCACAGCCTCATCGGGTATCAATTTTGCAAACCGTATAATCGCATTTCCGATGCGCTACTCGCGCAAGACGCGGAATTTGTCGACAATGTCCAACTTTCCCAACTTGAGCTCGTAGAGCTGTATCTTGGGGCTGGCCTTGCGCCTGAGAAGACGGTCCAAGTCGCCCGCCGTGCTCACCTTGTGTGTCTCGTGCTTTTCGCCGGCCTTGTCGCCAAAAACCAGGAAGATCTCCGTCCATTTCCAGGTGTCCTGGATATCGTTGTAGGGGCGGGTGGGGCCCTGGATGATTCTCTCCACGGTATAGCCCTCATTGTTGAGAAGAAAGATCTGCGGGTTCTGAATGTCGTATCTCAAGTACGTGGACCATTCTTGCACCGTCATTTGGGCCGCCCCGTCGCCCTGGATCAAAATGATTCGGCGCTTGCCGCCCAAATCTCTTTCTGCTCTCGAAACGCCAAACGTCGCTGGGAGCGCATACCCTATTGACTCGTAGAAGCTCTGTGCAATGATCGTGACGCCCTGGGGCAACCTCAAGTCCCACACTGCAAAGAGAAAAGTGCAAGTCTCGCAAACCACAATATCGTTGGGCCGCAAGTAGGCATTGAAAAAGTCCACCAACTTGTTTTGCGTGATAGTCTCCGCCGGCACTTTGTCCAACAACGCAAACTGCTTGATTTCTCGTTTCACGTTGATGTTGTTGACCTTGCCATCGTTGTGCATGAGCCGGGTGGGCTTGAATTGGGCAGCGAGTCGCTGTATCAAGTCGACAATCGAAAACAGCCTCTTTCCACTGGCTGGATCTTTTGTGTGAACATACTCGCCATCAATGAGAATGTAGTCTGGATGCACTTGCACCAGATCTGAAACTTGCCCAAAGTTCATAGAGTAGGCACCGGAGTTGATTTCATTGTTTGTATGGCCTAGAATCAACAAGAAGTCGGAGTCTTGCTCAAGAGACGCAGCCACGCCAGAGTCTGACGACAACTTCCCCCCGTAGACGCCAACAAAATTGGGCAATGTTTCGTCGATGTTTCGAGCCAAAAGCGTACTGAAGAGCTTCACGAAGTTCGAAGGCATTGCTTCCACAAAGTCATCCAAAGCATTCTGGCCACCAAACCGGCTGGCCAAAGCATCACCTAACACCGAGGGTTTCTCAGACACATACAACTTGTCCAAGATTCTGCATGTTACGTCTTTCAACAACGCCTCGTCGGTCAACTCGCTTATTTCCAATTGCTGCTGCAATCTGCTAGCAGGAACCATAATATCCGATACATTGCTGGGAATGTAGAGATAGCCCGGTCTTCTTTCCTGACAAATGTTTGCTAAGACTCGATCAATCTTTTCCAAGTTCTTGGAGGTGTCCGTATCCAAAGATTCTTGAATCACCGATAGGTTCTTTACAATGGGCTTGTAGACATCATGATCAGGAGACATCAAAGAGTTTTTATTTTGAACCAAATGATGTATATTTCTCACCTCCTCTGCATTTGCAATAAGAGCCTGCTCTGCCTGTTCTGTTGAAGTTGTTCCCACAATGTGCAACACGGGAGCATACTCGGCAAAGGCACCGGCAATGCCATTCAACGCTGAAAGCTCGCCAACGCCAAAAGTGGTGATCAAAACACTAAGACCATCAATCAGCTTTGCGTATCCATCGGCAGCATATGCGGCATTAAGCTCGTTGCAGAACCCCACAAACTCTAATTTTGCAGCAATTGACTCTGTGTAGAGATGCTCCAACAATGCCAAATTGAAATCACCGGGAATTCCAAAGATAGAGCGAATCTTGGGGCTGGCCTGGCATACTCTCAAAAACAAATATTCACCCAAAGGGATAAGTGTTGTATGTGTTTCGAACAAAGTAGGCATTTCTTTGGATGGGGCCTGAATGACAATGGGTGACATGTCGAGTGCTTCTAAGATATTGCTTTAGAGAAGAAATCTTTTTTTTTTTTGGTAGATCAATGATAAAAAAAGAGGGCCGTTTCTTCATACGAGTGGAATTTGAATTGTATTTGTATATATGAATCAGCTATGTATTCAGCTTAAATTGTAAGTAGTATACTATGAAATTAGCGCGAACTCTTACCAGTCGCTGCATAAAACTCTGGTATATGTTTTCGCACAGTATGGCAGAACCCAGCAAATGGAAATAATAGGCATTGAATCGCACACCGGGCTTGATGGACAACTTTGTTTCTTTTTTCTTTTTCTTTGCTTTGTGTGTTTTTTGTTTTTCGAGTTCCTTTGCTTTTACAAATAGCCTAATAAATTTATTGTATTGATACCGACTTGGGTTTACATGAACATTGTTGAGGCACCAGGTTGGAGAGCTCTTTGAGCCTCATTTCTGTGAAAGTATTGCCCATTATCTGGATTTCACTAATGGATTTCCGCGCTTTATTCTGATCTCCCAAAACAGCATTTGTTGCATAGAATGTCCTAGTGGTACTTGCATATCCGTACACCTGAAATCCAGTCCTATGTGTGCAATGAAGTTACCTATTTTCTTCGAGTATTCTCGGTTTCGCTTTTCTAGCTTTGTATATGAATTAATATTGTGGTTGTAGCAGTATGTGACTTTTTAAATATGAAAAATTTCTAAATGATCCTCAAACTGCTAAAATTCGAAAATAATTCAGAATGATGTTCAGAGAAGTTTATGTTAATGATTGCAAATTTGGAAAACATTCTTCGTAAAACTTCTATTACATCAAAAAGGTTCCAGGGCTCTATTTCTGACATCACTCAAAATTTGAGATTTTATTTCTAAAGAAGAGCTTATCACAAGGTTCCATACTACATGCTCCTTTATAAGGTCATTTGATCGATTTTGCTAATTTCCTATTTCCTCCCAAGAAAGGTGTTGAACCTCTGTGGCACATCCAACTTGCCTAATTCAAGTTCAAAGAGGCGTATTTTTGAGGTTCCATTTTCCTCAAGAAGACAATCCAACTGAGCTTGCGTGGTGATTTTCTTGGCTTCGTGTTGTTTTTCCGTTTCGTCCCCGAAGATCTTGAAAAATGCGGTCCAATTCCATGAGTCTTGGATGTCGTTGTATGAACGCATTGGACCTTTAATGACTCGCTCCACTGTGTATCCCCTGTTATTGAGGAGAAAGATCTCTGGGGACTGGATCTCGTATCTCAAAAATGTGGACAATTCTTGGATTGTCATCTGTGCAGAGCCATCTCCTTGAATCAAAATCACTCTTCTGTTCGTGCCCAAGTCTCTCTCGGCTCGGCAAATACCAAAAGTTGCGGGAAGTGCATACCCAATGGACCCATAAAAGTTTTGAGAAAAGAACCTGACATCTTTAGGAAATTTTATGTCGGAGATTCCGAAGAGAAAGCTGCAGGTTTCACATACTAATATGTCGTTTGGTCTCAAGTAACTGTTGAAAAAGTCAGTCAATTTGTTTTGAGTTATTGAATCAGCTGCACTGTTATCTGAAGCAAAGTGCTTGACTTTGTGCACCAGTTTGATGTTATCAAGTAGCTCACTGTTGTTCACGAGCTTGTGAGGATTGAAGTCGGCACATAACTCGCCAATGATGTCAGCAATAGAAAACAGACGTCTTCCCGTCTTTTTGCTTTTCACAATAGTGTACTCGCCATCGATGAAAACGTAGTTGGGGTGAATCTCCACTACTTCTGAGACCTGGCTGAAGTCACTGGTGTACGCCCCCGAGTTAATTTCATTATTGGCACAACCAAGAATAAGCAAGAAGTCCGTGTCTTTTTCGAGAGCTTGAATAACATCAGGTCCAGAGGACATGTTTCCACTATAAACACCAACAAAGTTGGGTAAATGTTCATCGAAATTTCTCCCCATGGGCGTCGTGGCCACCTTGACAAAATTTACGGGCAAGATAGCCACAAATCTGTCCAAAACCTCCTGCGCTCCAAACCGGTCAGCCAAAGCGTCACCTAATATAGTAGGCTTTCTAGAGGCGTACAACTTGGCCAATATTTTCAGAGACAATTCGGCCAAAAGTCCGTCATCTGAAACCAGATTGAAATTCAAGGGCAGTTTCAAGCGGCTGCTTGGAACCATAATATCGGGGACGTCCCGTGGAACAAAAAGATATCCTGGCCGTCTTTCTTGCAAGATAGAAATCAAAACTCTATCGACCTTTTCTAAGTTGTGTGTTATATCAGAGCTCAAAGATTCTTGCGCAACAGAAAAATCTTTCACAACCGACTTATACACATCATGGTTTGGCGAGCCCAATGGGTCTATGTTTTGTACCAAGTGATGAATATTTCTAACAGACAGAATATTGGCGATACGAGCCTGCTCTGCCTGTTCTGTTGAAGTTGTTCCCACAATGTGCAACACGGGAGCATACTCGGCAAAGGCACCGGCAATGCCATTCAACGCTGAAAGCTCGCCAACGCCAAAAGTGGTGATCAAAACACTAAGACCATCAATAAGCTTTGCGTATCCATCGGCAGCATATGCGGCATTAAGCTCGTTGCAGAACCCCACAAACTCTAATTTTGCAGCAATTGACTCTGTGTAGAGATGCTCCAACAACGCCAAATTGAAATCACCGGGAATTCCGAAGACAGAGCGAATCTTGGGGCTGGCCTGGCATACTCTCAAAAACAAATATTCACCCAAAGGAATCTGTGTTTCGGTGGAGAGTGGGGCACTTCCTTCTTCTGAAGATGCTGTTGTGATTGGCGCCATGATCTAATTATTTGATTGTTTTCGAAGACAAAGATTGCTTAATATATTTTGCTAGAGATGATTTCGAGCAAGTGGGTGGATGTCAATAATTGGCTTTTTAGCACGTTTGTACTTGGTAAAATTTCTGAAAATATTGGAGTGATTGCGTCGCTGCAAAGCCGGAAAGTCGCAGAATCTGTACACTTTTTGGTCCATAGCCTGTCATTGTAAGAATGAGTTTTTGCGAATTATAACTTCACGTGTTTTTTTTTTGTACTAAATACAAGATGTACTCTTATGTAGTCTCGCTAAGTGGATGAGCATTGAAGTTGTTATAAGTGTTATGGTAAGAGCATTGTATTGGATTTCACGCGTCTCGAAATATGGATACAAAAGACATATTGGGGGCGGGAATATCCAGTCAGATCCTCAAATGAAAGAAAAATAATTGATTGCTATTCAAACATTCAACTTTTTTTTTGAAGCCAAAGAATTGCTTACTTCTAGTGACAGGTTTCAATTTGAGAGGTCAACGTTGCTTCTTGGTGTTTGATATTTTCCATAAAAGGCCCAATCTCAGTGAATAATTGAGAAGCATTTGTATCATACGGATTGTCGACACAAAAAAAGAGGGTACCTCTTCAAATAATTCACTATGGCATCTAAAGATACGATAAGCAGACGGCGAATATTGATGATGTGCATGAGACGGTGCCTTCAAAATGTTCATTCTTAATTATAATTTTTAAGACCAAGACTCCTTCTAACGTGAAATGGGCGAACACGTCAAGATATTAAAATTGGTCGAGAAAAATTAGTGGCTTTCAATCATGATATATATCTGATCCCATCTCTTATTGCTTTGGGCTGATTCCAAACCGTCTCGGTTGCTACCATCCACCCGAAGGCATACTGTTATCACACCAGACGATCGTCTTTATTTTCATCGAGAAACAGGAAGCCCAGAACAAAGGGGACGTCTTTTGTACATTTTTCCACTAATTCCATCAACAAGTCCACTACATACATCTGTGTTCGAAAAATTGTTCATTGGTCTGTTTTACAATCTATTTAAACCCTGAATTTCAGGGCCATTTCAACCGCAGCCGCTCCCCAGTCTTCGCCGTGGTTATGCATTTTGCCCTCAATAAGCCCTGCCCTGGCCTCGGCTTGCTCGTCTGTAAGACATGTCAAGACACCAAAAATAACGGGGAGTCCGAGCTCGAAATTGAGCTTCATTAACTGATGGGTCACAGAGTCACAGATGTACTCGAAGTGCATGGTCAGGCCCTTGATCAAAACACCGATGGGGATCACAGCATCCAAAGGCTGGTCCAATTTCTGGTACTTTTCGGTGAGGAGCTTGGTTCCATAAGGCAACTCGAAAGAGCCCGGAATGGACTCAACAATAATGTTTTCTTCTTTGACTCCCAAATCTTTCAATCTGTCAACACAGCCCTTGACCAAGTTGGCGATGATGGACTCATTCCAACGGGCATGAAGAATACCGATTCTCAACGAAGAGCCTGTCTGTTAGTACGAGCAAATTGACACACAGTGAGCCCTGGCCGTTGATTAAATTCTTGTTTGACTAGGAGACTTGCCACAAACAGAAAAATAGTGTGAGGCGGAAATCATGACCAGAGTCTTGTGTTCGATATTATAAATTATGATGAATCCTCGAAGGCAAATGCGACTGGCCTAATTACGTCACGTGCTGGACGGCCACAAATCACTCGATTCACAGAATAAACATACCATCATATTTTTGGTCAACCTGACCCAATCCTTTGACAGCCATTTTGATTTCTTATAGGTTTAGTGGTTTATCTACGGACGAGATATTGCAGGACTAGTGCGCTTTGTCAGACAGGTGGACGCGGACTTCAGTGGATGTTGCCCGAAGTCACGTGACCGGAACATCGTTACCGAAATGAAAAAAGCCTTTGGCAGCGCCAGGTTGCAGAAATTCAAAATAAAGAGAGATAGAGCGGAAGAATGAAACATTATCTGGAAATTTCTTCAAACTTGTGACTACATGTAAATTTTTTATTAATATTGTCAGATACCTGAATAGGTGCGAAACATAAATACCAAAAAATATACCATTGCGTGAAGCATAAACGAAAAATACAACATCTTGCAAAATAATCTTAAAAATTAACCGCGTTCTGAGTGAATTATTTCCAAAAACTCAAAAACGTCGAATCTCATTTTTGCATGTTCTTAACGTGTGTCATCTTTCGCATGAACCATTATCCATATTCCTCGAAGAATGCCGATACTCATGTATTCTGGTCTTCGACCTATGCTTCCTGCATCATCATCCAATTAAATATAGTGGGTCATTGAACCGAAGGCTTTGATGCAAGGTATTTATTTCTACACTATTATCGATCAGGCCCATACCTGAAATCAGATATATCACCACCTAGCAAAGGACGACCGCCAGCTCCCTACTCAAAAAACTTCTAGGCCTTCACTGTCAAGTTCCTTCTAAGCTGGACATTATTTAACTATTGTAATTTATTGTTCGAAATGAGTGCTTTTTGTATATATAACTTCGATCTTTCTAAGAAGATCTCTTCCCGACCAAAGTTATCAACCTTTGAGGGACATCCAATTTGGCTAGCTTAAGCTCATAGAAGCGAATCTTAGCACTAGCCTTGTGGCCAACAAGACTTTCCAAGTCACTCGTAGTATTAATTTTTTCGGCCACGTGCTTCTCACCCTTCTTGTCTCCAAAGATCTTAAAGAGCTCGGTCCAGTCCCAAGTGTCTTGAATGTCATTGTAAGAGCGCGTTGGACCTTTGATAACTCTCTCCACAGTATAGCCCTCGTTGTTGAGAAGGAAAATCTCAGGAGCCTGGGTTTCGTATCTCAAAAACGTGGACAATTCCTGGATTGTCATCTGTGCAGAGCCATCACCCTGAACCAAGACAACTCTTCTGTTCGTACCCAAATCTCTTTCGGCTCTAGAAACACCGAAAGTTGCTGGGAGTGCATACCCAATGGACCCGTAGAAGTTTTGGGAAAAGAACCGCACGCCTCTCGGGAACCTGATATCCGACACGCCGAAGAGGAAGCTACATGTCTCCACAATCAAGATGTCGTTTGGACGCAAGTAGCTGTTGAAGAAGTCAATCAACTTGTTTTGGGTAAGCACTTCTGCGGGAACATCGTCTGTGAGCGATAATTGTCTGAGCTCAGGCTTGGTTCTGATGTGAGTCTCCCCATCATTGTGTTCGAGTCTCTCAGGCTCAAAGTTAGCAGCAAGACTCTCCATTAAATCGACAATGGAAAACAGTCTCTTTCCAGTTTTCGCATCCTTCACGATTATGTATTCCCCGTCAATTAACACATAGTCTGGATGCACTTCGACGTAGTTGGAGACCCGGCTCAAATCTGTAGTGTAAACTCCAGTGTTGATCTCGTTGTTCAAATGACCAAGCGACAACAAGAAATCCGTTTCATTCTCAATAGCAACATTGACTTCGGGGTCCGAGGATAACTTGCCTGCATAAATGCCAATGTAGTTTGGCAAGCCCTCGTCAATATTTCTTCCGAGAGCTGTGGAAAACAACTTCACGAAATTCGAGGGCATGGCCTCAACAAAAGAAGTGAAAGCGTTTTGGGCCCCGAAGCGGTCCGTCAATGCGCCTCCCAAGATGGAGGGGCTTGTGGACGCATACAATTTATTCAAAATCGTTAGCGAAACTTCTGCCAATAATGCCTCGTTGTTGAGCTCGCTCAAATCCAAAGGCTGTGCCAATCTTGCCTTAGGAACGGTAATGTCGGGAATGTCGCTAGGAATGTATATGTAGCCCGGTCTCTTCTCGTGCAAAATCGTGATCAACACATTGTCGATCTTGTCCAAGTTGGAAAGCACGTTGTGGTCCAAAGATTCCTGCACCACCGAAAACCCATCGACGATCGACTTATACACGTCGTGGTTAGGTGCCGCCAACGCGTTTTTGTTCTGCACCAAATGATGGATGTTTCGGACATCTTGAGGCGCAACACTTTGTGCCTGGTCGGATTGTTTGGTGGAAGTTGTGCCCACAATATGTAAGACCGGGGCATATTCGGCAAATGCACCTGCAATGCCGTTTGTTGCCGAAAGCTCACCCACGCCGTAGGTGGTGATCAACACACTCAAATCTTCAATGACCTTGGCATATCCGTCGGCAGCGTAGGCTGCATTGAGCTCATTGCAGAATCCTACAAACTCAACCTTTTCAGCGACAGAGGCAGTGTAGAGATGCTCCAATAAAGCCAAGTTGAAGTCACCGGGGATTCCAAAAACGGAGCGTATCTTAGGACTAGCTTGGCAGATCCTGAGAAAAAGGTACTCACCTAAAGGAATCTCCTCGCTAGTAGCAGAATATTGAGGTATATTCTCTTCTGATGGTGCACTAGTAATGACAGGGGCCATGGTGATTAAAGTATGTTTTGAATAATTCAAGTAAAAAACAGTTGGGAGATAAGCGAACTATAAACTTTTTGATTTAAGATATTTCTGATTTACCGACTTGGAGGAAGAAGCCAACTTTATATACGTGTCACTTTAGAGAGCCGTAAGCGAGAGAGGCTCTGCCATTTTTTCGGAGTGCTACAGGATGTCGGCATTAGCCTGTTGTTTCATACTTAATTGACGCCCCGCATGAAGTTTAACTTCACTGAGAGGGGAACTCACGTCCAAGAATGCCGTGCAGGTAAGAGGCTAGTCATGGGGTCTAGGCAACCCTAACATGCACACGATTCTTGGGGAGTAGATCACCAGAATTCCGGACAAATCATAAGCATACTTTGAGAAGTTTCTTTTCTCAATAATTAATTCTCTTATTTTATTTTAGAAAGCTAAGAGAAGCACACGAGGTGCAGTAAAGAGTGTAACGGGCACCACAAAGCTGGAGTCTATTTTTTGACTTTCAACTTTTGCTCTTCCAGAAAAAAAGACGTGACCCTCATGACTGACTTTGAGAAGCAAGGCTCAGAAACGAGGATGGCAGACTTGGACTCAACTGGCATCATACCGTCATTTCTTGCCCACGGGATTAGCTCTTGAATATGAAAGACTTGGTTGCTTCACGACCGTCGCTTTCGCCTTCTTAATTGTTTCCATGAACCATTGATAATTGCATGGGCTTCTTTTTCCTTGTGCTATTTAAGCGTTTCATATCTGAACGAAGAACCCAGCCAGTCATCCAAATCTATTTGAGCGTGAGCTATTGCTACTTTCCCAGCAACATAGCATTGCGGCTGAACGGCGAAGAATCTCGGCACCTTCTTGGTCATCTGAACACTCTTGTGAATATAGAGGCATTTGCTGAGAAGACTCATTTCAATTTCATTTGCATCCAGTGCTTTCCACACACAATGGATTCATTCGATTGCAATTCCTACTTCTTCCACACACGCATCTCCATACAATCCATTTGATGCGCAGCCCAAGTGGGACTGAGCGCAAACCAGCTTGATGTCCAAAGTCGACATGGCCCTCTCCTAGTCTCGAGCCCAGTCGGCCAGCTGTATGTACTCATAGTAGAATGCAATGATCTGCAAGTGGGCGTCAAACACAATGTGCTCGTCTGCGCCGTGTGCATGTGCTTGCACATTCGGCACCAAGCCGGGCCGGTACCTGTATATGTGCTTGCTGAGATCCCAGTAGTGCTTGGAGTCTGTGTTTCCAGGAGCCATGCCAGGCACGGGGAGGATCGGCGTGCCGTCGAATTCCGCCATTGTTCCCTCGCATACTTCCTCGTATACGTGTCTCAAAGTACCAGCCAAAAGTGCCCAGTGCTCGTCGTATACCGGCGTGGCAGGCGCAGGCTCAAGCAGGTCCATGTAAGAAATAGAGAAATGGCCGTTTTGGGTGCGGGGCACTATTTCGCTGCCGCCGGCGTCGATGCCTAGCCCGTACCTGTCCGCCACCGCACCCACAATCGCCATGTTCCGATCAAGCACCTCCTGCACGCTGCTTTCCACGGCGATCCGGTGGTTGACAAGCACCTCTACGTATTCCGGTAGGGCATTGGATTTGACCCCGCCGTGAATAATGTCTACCGCCTGGGAAGTCGTGACAAGGTACCGACTGGTCAAGTCTGAGTTGTAGATTTTTTCTGCCACTAGCTGGCGTGCCCGAGGACAGGAGTCCAGGTGTCGGATGGCTCGTTTTAGCCCCGGCTCCATTTCCGCCGAGTGTGCCGCAAGACACTGGTACTGGGCAAAAGTCGGGTTGCGAGCCGTGAACATGGGCAGAAACGGCGCATTTTCCAAACGCGTCACAAGCTCGGAGACAATTCCAATGGCCGTGTGGTCCGGCGGAACGGAGGAATGGCCGCCGGGCGTGTTCAAGCTCACCACGTAGTTCAAGGAGCCCTTTTGCGAGGTGCCAATCAAAGCAAGCGCCACATCGCCCATTTTCACGAGGCTCTGTCCACCCTCATCGAAAACAGCGTAGAAGCCACCCGGGCCATATCTGGCAAGAAGAAACAGGCCTATATTTCGAGCGCCGTTGTCGCCGCCGATTTCCTCGTCGAAGCCAAAGGCAAAAACGACCGTCCGCCGGGGCCGGAACCCTTCTGCATGTAGAGCCTCGGCCGCCTCCAACAAGCCGATAAGCAAATTCTTGCAGTCGGCCGAGCCGCGGCCCCAGAGCCGGGTGCCATCATAAACGCCTTCAAAAGGCGGATACGTCCACTGGTCCAAAGACGCCTCCTGAATAGGGACGACGTCTTGGTGTGCTCCTAGCAATAGGGGCCGGAGCCCTGCATCGGACCCGGGCCACGTGATCACCAAGCCCCAGCTGTTGACCTTCTCCACCTGGCAGAACCGCCACAACTCCGGGAACGTCGCCTGCAAGTAGTCGTGGAAAGGCGCGAATTTCTCGTGCCAGTACGCCGGGTCTTGGTCCACCGACGGAGCCGAGTCGGTCACGTGAGTCTGGATTCGGACGGCGCCGGCTAATTTGGCGGCGGACTGGTTGCGGAACCCCGCGTCGTACATAATGCTCATCAAAGTACGGTTGTCTCGGTAGAAGCTGTCTGGCCGGATCTATCCAGGGATGGGGCACGCGGGTGGCTCTACAGGTTTTACCGACTCTAATCCGTAGAAATTTTTGAGACCTGAAGCGGCAAACAACGTCACCGCACAGAGCGACACTGCCTTGAGTAAATACACGCCATACGTACTGCGTTGGGTTTGGATCTCGTTGGGTTTTCCATACATTGGGTGACAAAGAAACGGGTGCAGTAAGAATCGCAAGGCCTGGCTTATCAGGATTAGAGGAGAGGACCTGCTGCCGTGCGTGTGGAAATGCAGGTCGCGTAAGTAAAAAGGCTACTTTACGCGGCGAACACCCTGGGAAGCCTGCGGGAACCGGTCATTTGAGTGTCGTTGGACAGAAACTGCATGTGCCTGCATACGTGTCTCGGCTCGATGCGCGTCTCGCGGCGCTTCCTACGGGTAAACGTGAATACACGAGCAAGTGGGCTTCAATGGATGAGATTCATTGGCGAGGACACATGGTGGAGTTTCAAGGAGTCTTGTAGGAGGGGTGGTAAAATTTGAGCAGGAGAAGGCAGGATAGTGATGAATGCATGTGAAGGCCCAACCTACTGGCGAGGACAATCATGTGCGGCGCAAAATTACTCAAACCTTTCCTGAATTTAGGCACAGCTTCTCACTCCACAAGCATTGTAGGTATACCTTTGATGTTGCATTTAAGCTGTGTTTGAAAATACGGTTAGGGTTTTTGTAATGGGCGAGGAGAGTTACCAACCTATACTTTCGTCTAGCCAAAATTCTCAGCAAGTGATGTATTTGGCTAAGGGTGCTATGGCTAAAAAACGTGTATATAGAAATGGAAAATTATCTAGACGCAACGGCTGGTGCTCAATTTATGAAACTTCGGGCCTATTCTGCACTGGAATGGCTCCTGAAAGAGACTTGAGTAGGGCACAGCTGAAAGTTTACCGGACATTCCAGTTCTAGATCCGTAAGAGGAAGCCATATATCATAACGCCCATTATTTTAAGGACTTTAACTGAACGCATACTTGTATCTTTCCGAATGGGATTGGCAAATGTTGGCATAATAATCGAGCCAGCTAAATATAACAAGCAAGGTGAGCCAGATTGTTCTCTACAAGAAGAACAAGGCAGATGTGCTTGCGCTTACCGAATTAACTTGGGTTCGAGGGAATCGGTATTAATCATGGTATTACATATACACATGATGCGATAATCCTAGCAGATTATCTCTGTTCTTTGATGGACTAATAAAGTGGTGATGCACATAAAGGAACAAGTCATGTCGACTGCTCTGACCACGGTATTTTATGGCTGACTATGTTGCCAGATCTGAAATCATATCAGGGGAATGCTTTGCTATATACCCATCTGATACGGACGTGGCCTTGTCCAATTGCAGCATGACAGTGCACTTACAGAGCTGAAGTCAGTTTCGGTTTGTGTCTATAGGTAGAGGTTTTTCATAAATGTTACTGAAATAATGACATTACTCAGCTTTGTTTATGTTTTTCACCTGTCCTTCCTCCCTGCCTTGCCCTATTGTCTTGTTTTTGAAAACTTCAAGTTGTTTTCACTCTCCAAACCATTCATCTATTGAGGTTTGCTTTTTTCTCAATAGCTTCCTCATCCGGCCATACATATATTGATGAAGCCTTAACTGTCGTATACCATTCAACAACAAATCTCTATTGAAGCACAACAATAACTTACGACTTATCAGATGGGTAATCAAAAGCTACCAGCAATATTTTTTCGGTTGAGTTACACATGAAGACGTTTGAAACAATGCATCAAAACTTTGAGTACCACAAGAAACCCGTGAAAAACATACCACTCAGCCACATACGGCGCTGTTACATTCTCGATTTGTTCTTTTCTTGGCAGTACCGCCTGAAATGTTAACATTGAAGGGCGCAGATGATTCACTGCTAAGCAAAACTATCATCATGTTTTTAATGACTATAGTTGCCCAATTCATCAAAACCCACAAAAAGCTTGAGTACGCAAGACATGTATAACAGAGATAACTGGCGAGAGCCCCATATGATTGCCTGCTGAGAAGCCAGAGTCAGTAAGACAGCCGGATATCTTCCACGCCCAGTTTATAGCCTCCATTCATCGTCAAACGACATAATTTTGACACCAAAAGCCTCATATTGTCTATCCACAGATTTGCCTCTTCCATTCACTGAGCAAGCTTTCTGCAGCCAGATGGCTTTCAGGATTCAGGTTTGAATCATCAGAAAAAGTCTTCATTTTAAAATGAGGATTGACAGTCTCAGAAGTGGGCCAGTCAAAGTCGTCAACAACAAAACATGGAGGTCCCAAGGCATCTTCAGAGAACCCCAGAAATATCAAGTCCCTACTGTCTTCTATAATGACTCTGTCGTTGGCTACCAAAGCATAGACTTGACAGTTTCTCATGTTGTGGATTCGGAGCTGGTGACACTCTAAAATAAGAACCAGGTTTTCGACATCATGTAGAATTATGGGCCCGTCACACCGAATGGCCACCAGACAGCTTTTGAGGCCTTGCGCATGGATGGACCAAGGCAATTCATCCTGTTTTCTGGCACCCAAAATCGTGCTTGTCTCGAGATCTTCAAGATACACATGCAGCTTAGCATTGTCAGGGCCCAAGAGAATACTCTCTCCGATTTTTCCACTAGTTTTGGGCGGTTCAAACTGACTCACCACTTCTCGTTTTAAAACCTGGCTTTTCGTCACAGCAGGTGGCACAGGAGGTCCCACGAATGATAGCCGGGTGGCACTTGTTTCAAGATCTGCTTTGTCGACTGCCCGAAAAAGCTTATACATGTTGTTCTTTACCTGCCGGCGCTCGTAAGGTGTGGCCTGACCACCGCCGTTTATGTAATCAGCAAACTGCTGATTCACCCGTATTATATCGTCTTTTAGAGCTGTGGCTACATGGCCTTCCTCACATCTTTTGAGCAAGTCTAGTTGTTAGTATCTCCGTTGCTTGTGGGTACATACACGACCCATTGTTGGACCAATATGAGATCGAGGATTCATCGAGCTTTGTGTTTTACTCACTTTTTTGTGTGGATATGATGTGGCCAACAGTCATGGTGTTTTAGTTGCTGGTCCTGGGTGTTTTGGTGGGGTCTACAGGACCTGCTCGCTCAGTGCTTATATGCATTTACAGGTCTGTCTATAAATTATATGACCAAATAACTATTCTTTTTATCTATATTTCTCACCACCGGTGGTTTATTCAATTGCGAACAAGCTTTGTTCTACCCACGAGTTGGTCAGCAATATCTCTGGTGTGTTGCCACGAGATTGTCTTTGGCATTCTCTTCCCAATCTCGGTCTCGTAGTCGTATAATTGTCTGATGGAGGTGAATCTCAAGTGCGAAGACTTGACTCCCAACACAGCAGCTGTATCCGTGACCTTTTTGTCTTCGGCACGGAACTCCTCTGCGTAACGCAACTCTGCAATGTTGTCGCTCGAATCCTCAATAAACTGGACGGCTCTCACGGCAAATCTACATGCCCTGGTTCTGTCAATAGGCGAGGGGAGACCACCTTGCTGGACATGACCAGGCAAAGCAGTTTTGACGTCGAATGCACCATCGCATTCCAGCCGCATGATGTTAGCTATGACATCAGTGGACAACACCTTGGATGCGTTGATACTCTTCAAGATTAATCTTCCGCTCTTCGTCGAATTACCTGAATTTGTGGCAAACGACTCGGTTAAAGACTTGATGTCACACTCCAACTGCGCCAAGTCAATGCCCTCTTCAGGCACGTACGATATTTGGGCACCGCACGCCAAACCAGCATAAGTAGCAATGTAGCCCGAATTTCCTCCTTGGACCTCAATGACAAACGCACGGTTTCTTGTGGCAGAGGCAGATTGTTTGACAATGTCACAGTAGTCCATCAATGAGTTCAAACATGTATCGGCACCCAAAGAGTACTCTGTTCCAGGAACATTGTTAGAGAGCGTAGCCGGAACCAACACCATGGGAATCCTGAAGCATGGATACATGGCACGCGCTCTCTCCAATTGGTGCAAAGATTCGAAGGCCTCGAACCCGCCAACAATCACCAAGCCGTCAAATGCGTACTTCTCGAAGTAGTAAGCGATCATGCCGAAGTCCGTCTCTTCAGGCGTAGTACGGTTTGTTCCAATCTCGCAGCCACCCTTGGACATCCAGTTCTCGATGTTCAACCAGTCAATGACGTGTACAGACTCATGCCGGGCAAGCCCCGAGAACCCATTGTGGATGGCATAAGGCGTGTGACCACGGGACATACAGTATGTGGCCATCGAGTAAATAGCGCTGTTCATACCGCCTGCTGGGGCGCCGACGTTGATGATGGCGATGCGTTTTCTCTTCTCGATGGGGAGAGAGGGCCTCTCGTGGTTAGCTGAGTTGACGGCCATGAAATTCTTCAAGTACTCGCCGAAATCCGTGTCGCGCAACTCCATGGCCTTGTCGAAATTTTTGGACTCGATCGCCTCTGCAACGGACTTAGTGATTCGCACCGCGTCCACCAAGGACAACCTGACGACCTTGTTTTCCTTGAGGCCAATGAGCGGGCTGGGTGTTTCAGGGGTGGACTCCAAGACGGCCTTGACAGCCTCCACACCTTGCAAAGTGGCCAATCCCCTGTCAAAAGTGACCGCCTTGCCGCCTCTCTGCACGTGGCCCAAGGTGGTGACCCTGGTGTCCAAGCCCAACATGTCGACCAAAACATCCTTGACGTCGTCTGCGCTGATGTGCTCCAAGTCGCTGGAGATGGCGCCTTCGGCCACGACGACCACCGTCTTTCTCCTTCCCTTGGCCCTGTGCTTGGACACGATGTTGCACATCTGGTCCTGCCAGTCCTTGCTGGACGACGGCTTCTCCGGGATCAAGATGTAGTCTGCACTGCAGGCAATGCCGGCCATCAAAGCCAACCAGCCGCAGTGTCTGCCCATGACCTCCACGACAAAGGCGCGCGAGTGGGAGTTGGCCGTGGCGTCGATGTAGTCGATGGCCTTGCAGATGCGGTCCAACGACGAGTAGGCGCCGATGGTGGCGTCTGTGGTAGCCATGTCGTTGTCGATGGAGCCGACCGTGCCGCAGATGTTCAAGTGCTTGTGCTTCTGGTACTGGTCCGCGGAGATGGAGCCGTTCTCCCTCAACTCGGCAATCAACGAGGGCCACTCCGCACGGAACAAGTCCGCGCCGGTCAAGGAGCCGTCGCCGCCGCACACGATGAGCGCGTCGATACCCGCGTCGATCATGTGCTTGCAGCCCTTCAAGCGGCCGGCGCGCTCCTTGAACGCCATGCACCGCGCAGTGCCGATGTTCGTGCCGCCGTCGGAGAGGTAGCCCTCCACGGCCTGCCAGGACATCTCGCGGATGTACTCGGGTCCGCCGCGCACCAAGCCCTCGTAGCCCTCCATCACGGCATAGGCCCTGCAGCCACGGTAGATGGCCGCACGCACCACGGCACGCACACACGCGTTCATGCCCGGCGCGTCGCCGCCGGACGTCATCACGGCAATGTTCCGCCGGGTTTGCTGTGGCGCCACGGGGCCCTGGGACTCGGACACCGACGTGGACATGGGCTCGGCCGCGGCAGGCGCCGGCGGCTGGAGCTTCTCCACGTGGGGGCTGAACGACAACAAGTTCAGCGCGCCCGTGAAGCCCACCACGTGGCCCAACGGGTCCACCAGGTACGCCTCCACCGGGTACAAGTCGTTCGGGTAGATCTGCACGGGCTGGCGGGCGGCCCGGAGCGCCAGGATGACGCCGTTGAGGCTGGCCACGGCCCAGGTCACGTGCAGGCCACGTGCGCGCCAGTCGCTGGTGGCGGCCTCGGCGGCTAGTTTGGTCCGGAGGTCTGCCAGAACCAGCGCCGGGGCGGCCTTGTCGGACACGCGGATGAGCATGCGCGGCCCGGCCGCGGCGGCCAAGTCGGCGGCTGCGGCGGTCTTTTTCTCCACGGAAAACCCGGCGAAATCCGCGTAGAAATCGGCTGTTTGTGCCACGAGCGCCGGCTCCGGCGCAAGGAGCGTCACGGCGGACGTGCCGTTGACCAAGGACACGGACATATCGGGGGGGCGTCGTTTAAGGGGTTATGCGGGGATTTTGTGGCTGTTTCCAGGGGGTGTTCTGGCGTGGGTCGGACCAGATAAAAGCACGCCGGCGGCTAAGCGGGACGGCGGAAAAGAGGGAATCTGGCGGCGGTTCGGGCAGCGGAATTCTCAAAAAGCGCAAAGGGGCGTGCACGGCTTCCAGACTGAAATGTGTGCAGCGGGCAGATTTAGTGGTGCCAGATTTAGTGGTTCCAGATTTAGTGGTTCCAGAGAGAGAGAGTTGCTTCGGAGGCCGGAGTTATAAATGTAGGGAGCCCCGGCGACGAGTGCGCGGCCGGCTGTGTGCAGGCGCGACGCGAGCGTCACCTGACCGGGCGCCCGATATCCGAGGGCCGCTGGCGGCGCTGGGGCATTCTTGGGCGTGGCCAAAAAAAGCCGTTTTTTGAAAAGACTAGGCTGATGCTGCAGTATTCTAGGGGCTGTTTCCTCTGGTTGCCGGTGCTGGCTTTTCACGTTGTAGCCTTGGTTTTCGGCCTGTATCGTTGGGCATTTCTTGCTGCCTCTTACGTCATGCGACGGCCGCGCCGCGAGCATGCGCTTACAGGGCCGCCATGGGAGCCCCGGCCCTTTTTGCCCACAGGGCGGGCAAAGCGTATATTGGCTGGTTTTTGGTCTGGCGGCTTGGAATGCTGTGGACAGTTCTGCATGGAGACTCGCGGGGCGGGTTTTTACGGGCCTCTTGCAATGGGAATGGTGTGGTCTACTGGAGTGCTAAACCGGGTGGCCCCAAAGTGCTGGTTCTTGCCAAACTTCCGTGGAGCGTTGGCACTCTGTTTTGGCCGGCCGGTTTCTGTTTCAGTCTTTCTGGAAACGCGTCATGAATGGGGTCTTTACTGATTGTGCTGGTGTATCTGGCAGAAGCCGAATAAAGCGTGCGAACGGCGCTGCTAATATATCTCGGCCGATTATTGGCGCCTGGCTTCACCACTATCAATTCCTAAGATGTACGGCGAGCATCGTGTGTTTGTCGCTGTGCGCTGCCGCATGCTGTGCTTCATTTAGGGCTTTGTGGAATATCCTTTTTTGGATTATTCCCTTGGAATCGGTTAGTTGCGAAAAGAAGCCTTTGAGGTTTCAGACACGGAATTGATTTGTATATTTGACAGGCTTTGTTTTGGCGCCAGGCGTGTTAGAATGGGATCTTGGAAATTCTTGAGCTCCTCTTAATGCTAACACATGGACAGAGAAGAATGCACTTCTTTTCGTTTGCCTTGCAACGGGGATCCACTCTAGAGGCAGGAACCAATAAGAACATACAGCGCAGTTCTCTTCTATTGACGCAAGTGGAGTCTTGAGCTCATCAAAGACTCAAAACGCTGTATGCTACAACGCGTTGACAATTCACAAGCTCTGCCAGTGTGCGTTGATGCGCCATCATTGCTGTTTCTAATCAGAACTTCATGAATATTTGAGATATGCAAGCACGGTATTGGAATGCTCGTACTATATCGTTTTTATTAGAGATACATCAAACTTTGAAAGAGCAGTAGTCAATGATATGAATCCATAAGCAAAAGCATATTCGAAGCATGGAAATGATGGTAAACAGGCACATGTGGAACTCTCAGAGGGTGAAGAAAAGAGACCCCGAATCAGCACCAAATTTAGGTGATCGAGTGGCCCATGTCATCATCAACACGTCAAGTTCAAATCATTAAGTAGTATTAAAAGACCTGTATGTCTTGATGAACTTCTTGCCATGGATGTCAATTACTTAGACAATCAGCTCTCCCAGCCGTTCATGAGAATCTTCGTACTGACACTTGGCCACAAGAAGGCAAAAACCTCTCTTCTGCTACTCATACTAGGAATATCAAGATAAGTACTCTAAAGAGCGGTGATCTTATGAGGTTTGTGAAGAGAGCAGAGTTGTGCAAATTGCAGGTCGCCACTCAAGCCAGACAAACATAGGGCGACTTGTGAGAATTGTGTTTCTAAAGCTTCTCAATAATGTTCTAAGGCCCTGGCCCAAATCTATCATCTCGATAATAAATTCTCCGTATTGTGGACCAAATTCCAGGGATGTCAAAGTTCGTTGCATCAAGAAGTTCTTTGTTCCTATAATGACTGACCAATTAGCACAACGAATCATGTTATTGACTTCTATATCACGTGTGCTGTGGCGCAACGAATGATACAACTCATTAATTGGATTCAATTTTGATAAATTGCAAACAGCTTGTGTTGGGTGCTATCCTTGTTTGAGATTTAAATAGCTTTTTATTTGAGACCGACTAAATGCAGAAAGCGCACCTGACCTGGTCTTTGTACCAACGTCCTCTGAGTACCGAGTAGTCAAGTGCCTTTTTTCTTTCTCAGGGAAACGATCCTCGGATACTTGAAGGACAGAGTCAAATCCGTTGGTGGCAGTCGCTCTAGTTGGAGATTCTTTTCCTTGGTCGCTGGTTCCGGCTTTGACGTTTTGTAAATGTTTGGCAAAGTCTGATTCTGTCTTCAATACCGCAGTCAAGGGTGTAGGAAGATGTAGTTTTCAGGATGATTTCTAAATTCCCAAAAGTCCATTTTCTTGCGCGAACAGAGAAACGCCCAAGAAGAATATGGCAGCAATGTTTCTCTAAAAATCAGATATTTCGATGTCATCTTCGGGGCACTGTGATACTCAAAGTGGATGTTTTTAGTCAACAAAAGGGTGAGTAGGGAGACTTGAGATGAGATTCAAAGTAACATCACGCAATTGACTGGTTCTGCCATATTGATAATATGCATCAAGCCGGAGAGCGCAAGTTCCGTGGTATATGCGTGGCTGATAATTTTATGGTTCTGGGAATCATTCTAACTTGCACAGGCTGTAAAGTTTTGGCAGCATTACGCTACGCTAAATATACAAGTATGATGTGACTGGGAATTCCAATATATAAATTTGAGTGGCGCAGTGATTGCTTCCACGAGTCCCAGCCCATGATAGTGAGCCCTGGATAAGTAGCCAAATAATAGTTAGACTATTTTATAAAATTGAAGCCGGAATTAATCCCACAAATATCTGTTTGAAAAAGTCACAATCCACACAGACTAGTCCAATCAAAGAAAACATGGCTTCGATTCTTAACCGCAAAATCAAGACTTCCAACACAAAACAAGAGGAGAAACGGTGAAAAGCCAAGTCTAATCTTGTATTGGCCCACTCAACTCATGCTTCGAATTTTGACGCCTATGCATGATAGACCAAAATTGCGTATTGCCCGGACACTTTCAACGAGTCAAACACCATCTGGAATAGCTGCGAACATTGCATCCCGGGTATCATCTTTTCTAGAATACATTTCAACCGGAACTGCCTCAGGAAGACCTAGTTGAGCGATTATATTTCAGCCCGTGAGATTTTAGATGCTGAACAAAAATCCGCTTTTCTGAGAACGCCAGCGCACAGAATGGACAGGAGAAAGCTTCCAGATCTTTCTCGACTAGAGGGGGTTTAGTTGCGTGGTCATCAGGAACTATCTGATCTACATCTGATGCGTGCCCTAAGTATTCTTTTTGATGGCGCCACTTCTCTCTGGACGACCCAAAACTTTGGTCACACTTCTCACATTTGTGAGGCTCTTCGATTCTTTTGGGTTTTTCTTCAAACACACTTGCTTTTTCTTCGCCCAATCTGAAGTTCTTGCGGGCTTCTTCATGTCCTTTTTCGTGGCGCCACCTGTCCCTCGACGAATGGAACAGCTGGTGACACACCTTGCATTTATGCGGCTTTTCATGTGTATGGACTCGCCGGATGTGATCGTCCATTGACCTCCTGGAGGTCCTTGTTTCCGAACAGTGAATGCAATCATATCGCCTCGAGAGCCTGTGTTTTTTCATGTGGCGATCCAAATTGTCCTGGGAGAAAACACGGGTCTTGCAATACAGACAGTCATAAAAGGCCGGGGTCTCATAGAAACTGATTTCCTCGTGCGTTATCATGTGCTCGGCCAAGCTGATTCTCGGGGATATCCCAAATTTGCATATATCACAAAATATGAGGCTTTCCTCAGCAGGCGAGACATTGGTCTTTTTAGGAGGGCTTTGCTCCTGTGTGCTGCTTGAGGTCTCGTTTGCGTGTGCATTAGGCCGGCTGCTGGGGCCCTGCGTGTGATTAATGCCATTTTTCAAAGTACGCCCTGAATGAAGACCTGTATCCAGTTTCGCTGAGCTTTGTCGAGTGGCCCTTTTTGTTGCCTTGGGCGCAGAGGGTGAAGAAGCAGGCAGAGTGGCGCCCAATCCGGTAGACCTGTTTCGTTTGCGTGTCGACCTTGTACTTTTGCTGGACTGGAGCAGGCAGTTTGGCCATTCAGAGCAGTCCGGATGGATGCTGCATTGCAGCGGATGTGCCTCCTGCTCAGGCTCGTTTGCTTGGGCTTTTCTAGCGGCTTTCAAGATTTCCTCATTGACCTGAACGGCCAAGGCACCGAAGGAATCGGTCAGCCCCCACAGATGACTGTCGGATTTGCGGGTGCCAATCCGAGACATGGGGAGCAGATCCAAGTCTCGAAAATCGGCGCCGTGAAAGCGGCCATAGGTTTTTTGCGAGTCCTTGTCGAGTGTATATAGACGGTCAGTATCACGCGTGTCTGTATCATGCGAATGCTCAGGGGTGTCTGGAGTATCGTTTGGGTTTTGGGTATCGCCTGGGTTTTGGGTATCGTCTGGGTTTTGAGAATCGTCTGGGTTTTGGGAATCGTCTGGGTTTTGGGAATCGTCTGGGTTTTGAAAATCGTCTGGGTTTTGAGTATCGGCTGCGTCTTGGGTGTCTTCTACGTCCTGAGTTTCTTCTCCGTTTTGAGGACCTTTGGAATCTAAAGAGCCACGTGCGTCTTGTGACCCATGAGTACCCTGTTGAAGCTGTAACGGGCTGTCGTTTTCAGAAAAGCTCGGCACGTGCACCAGGCCACGTTTGCCTTTCCTTGTACTTCCAATTTCGGAAGACGCGTCCCAGGCAAGAGCCGGCCCAAGGAATAGCTGCGGCCCTTTATGGTCTCTGGTCTGCGGTTCATTTGCAGAGGCACCCTGATTTCCGTATCCACCAAAAGGCACGAGGGCCTGCGAGCCTGTTTCGGGGCCGTCCGAAATAGAAGCATCTGACACGGCGGTGTCGTCCTCGGTGGAATCTGCAAGCTGCTGGATCTCGCCAGAAAAAGCCAGCTTGTCACGTGTTCCAGTAGATCTTCCGGCAGACATATCCAGAAAACACGAGATCGACAAGCCCGCCACGTTCTTGCCGCTGCTGATGATTCGGGCAAACGGGGTGTGCACATCATCATGCCCCATATGGCTGGGGTCTTCATCAGGCTTGTCTGTGGCGAACATGCTTGATTTTTGAGCAGTAGTGTGGTCATCTGTGACGCAAACCCGAGCACAGCCGCCCGTCCGGGGATCCCTGTATATGTCGATGAGACCGTTGATCCGAGGCTCCACGTCCACGACGAAATCCGGGGCCCCAGAGCCAGTTTCGCCGGGGTCCAGATCGGCCCTAATTGAGCCGATGATTATGCGAGTGACGTTGGTCCGCCTGCGTTTGCGCACCCGGACTTCTGCAGCGGTGGAGCGTCCAGGGGCTTTCCGAGAAAACTCCAGTTTCTCCTGGGAAAGACCGGCCATTTTCGAGGGTGCCCGGTGGCGTGTGGAGGAACAATATAGAAATGATGGCTCCGATGCCCGAGACCTGCGGTGAGAAACATGCGGCTCTTCATACAGACAGGAGGCTCAGACATATACGAGCAAGCCATGCCACAGGTGGAGGCCAGGACCCTCGAAAGGACCGGAATGATGGGACGAGAAGAATACAGATAAAACAAGGAAAGCGGGAAATTCGGCACAAACCACCGGTATTTGCTGGGGGCCATTGCAAGCAGATCTATGTGCCCCGCACTATATACCAGACTGCATGGCGGGTTCCCGATACATCTACTGGATAGATCTGACACCAGATCTGACCGGACTTTTTTTTAAGGGTCGACTTGTTTAAGTGGGGGCTGGGAAGAATTGGTCGCACACTGGTGATTTTATTTTTGGTGGAACGGGAAGGTTTGGAGCGCTCCGCCGTCTTTTCTGCCTGCGTGCGCCTGTGCAGCAGTTCGAGTAATGCATAATCGCCTCTATTTCGATTTGGTCGGTTTTTGGGTTCCCGGGCCTGCTGGCCAAATAAAGCTGCAAACATGCCTAGCCAGAGAGAGAAGTAACAAAAGTGGGAATGGCATCGACTTTTTGGAAAATACCGGTTGGCTTCTAAACGGATGTAGAGCTTCACGACCAATTGGGGCAGATGCGTCTTCATAGTTCCACCGTGGTCCACCGAAGTCTACCATATCCTACTCAAGTTTGGCACCTCTGAGCCAATTGGCCACCAAAAGCATCGGTACAAATCACTTGTGAGTCGCTCAGCGATAGGTCCATCACAAATTCGGGGCTTTGGCTACATCAAAGCTTAACTAGTGTCGAGGCATACGGCTGTCTGAAGGCCGGCCCTGGGGTCACTCCAGACCGGAGCAGCCCCTATTTTGGTCTTTGAAGGCTATTAATAAGTCATGCCCTTAGCTTATGTGCCTGTATATATTGAGCCCAGGAAAAGAAGTTTATTTACAGCGCGGACGACTTCCAATCACTATACCCGTCCTTGCAGCGATCTGTATAATTTCTAAGTACCGAGAGAGTACACCTAGAATCATATCGTATATCCTGGCAATCGTACTCACTAACTACTTTAAAAGAGTAAAGACAAAAACTGGGGACATATCTAACCTTGTTTTATTATCCTCGTTCAGTTTCTATGTGCTTTTATATATACTTTGAAAACTAGCTTAGTAGCGCTGCAGTCAGGAGGAACAAACACCAGCGGGATAGTAAAAAAAATGACCAGGGTTTTTTAAAAAGCCTGTGGAGGCATTTAGGCTCCATGAGTGGTATGCAATTCATTCTGTATGTCTCGTCAGGACATGAATATCACATCCCGTGCATTTTTCACGCTTGAGCCAGGCGGGATGCGCCAGTGGTGATCTCACTCTTACAATCACAAAACACAAACCCTAGCATTAACACGTCCGATAACCCACACCAAAGCTTCGGCAGCCCGCTTGTGGTGAGGCTGGAACAGCCACGAGAGCCCCGCAGAAAACATTAGCCAGGAAAGTACTGGCGAAATCAGCTGGCCTTTTGTGTGTTCCAAAAAACGCAGAGCCAGTAACAGGATGTCCCGATTCAAAACTCACGACCGACATTTTGCAGTGACTTGGCGTTTAAATGCCAAGCCATCAGTTGTCGAACTGTGGCTACAACATGCTCACCCGATGCCCCAAGCAAGTTACCGGTAAGTGCACAAAAACTGTTTTGCGCCTGAAGCGGAAAGCCGTCGATCCAGCGACGGCCACCGATTTGGCGATAGCACATCACGAAGCCAGGAGCAGACAGCACCGTCTCCCCACCGCCTCCTCATCATCTCCCCCGTTATGGGCGGCGCACGCCCCGGTGGGTTTCGCAGCCGCAGCATACTTCTTCGGCACCGTCCACGCCTTGCACACTTGCAAGCCATTTCCACACGCCTGCTCCCATCAGAAATAGGCCCCAGTCACCAATTCAGGGTGTTTTCTCTCGGCGGCCCTTATTAATTATGGCGTGCGGGGCCCACTTTTTGCCTGAAGCGGGCTCGCGTCCGAAGACCAGTGCACAGCCAATAAGAGGCAGCCATGGCAGCCCAACCACCACCAAACAAAGCCAACAAACAAACAAAAAACAAGCCAAAAAAGCCAAAAACGACCAAAACGACCAAACCAATCAACAAGGACCAGAAAGATCAGCAAAGATCAGACAGATCAAAAGCAAACAAAGCCGTGGTAGCACCCAGACCGCAAGCGCTATGTGCTGACGTTTACGCGTGCCCCATACAGACGCCGCGCCCGCGCCCGCGTAACTCCCATCCCCATCAAATTTTTTCTCGCCTCGACAAACCAATTCTTCGCAACGCAATCGTCCAGGCCCTTCTTGAACCTGCGCTTGTTTCTCACCTTCTCCCAGCACCCATGTCGGACACCCAGCAAACGAGCGAGCTCTCCCAAATCGCCATCCCCACGCTCCCCTCGTTGGCGCCCGAGCTCCCCAAGCAAAACGGCTTGTGGTCGTCCAACCCAGTGTTCTCCTACTTGAACGATGTCTACATCAACATCGCCGAGCACCGCAAGTCGTTAGGGTTGACCAACCCCGGCACCATCGAGAACCTCACCAAGGAGGTCAACCGCGACGTGTTTTTGAGCCAGTACTTCTTCACCGGGTTGCGCGCGGACTTGAACAAGGCGTTCTCCTTGGACCCGGCTTTCCAGACCTCGCACACCTTGTCCATGGGCTCCAACGTGTTGCCGCCCTACGCCTTCAGCGCGTTGTACGCCCGCGAGAACTTCTTTGTGCAGGGCAATGTGGACAACGACTTCTCTTTCAGCGGCAAGGTCAACTACGGCTGGGACGCGCACAACATCCTGAAGCTCACGTTGCAGATTGCGCACGGCCAGCCGGTCATGTGCCAGTTGGAGCAGGACTACCAGGCCAACGACTTCTCGGTGAACGTGAAATCGTTGAACCCCTCGTTGTCGAACGGCGGCTTCTCGGGCGTAGCCGTGGCCTCGTTGTTGCAGTCCTTGACCCCCAAGTTCGCCGTGGGCTTGGAGGCCATGTACTCGAGACAGGCCATGTCTCTTCCCCCCGACTCGGCGGTCAGCTACTTTGGCCGCTACAACGCGGGCAAGTGGATCGCCACCGCACAGGTCCAGGCCCAAGGTGCGTTGGTCGGAACGTTCTGGAGAAAGGTCAGCGACAGAGTGGAGGCCGGTTTGGAGACGCAGTTGATGGCCTCCGTAAGACCCATCACCGACTCCTTGATGGGCACGCCCATCGGGTATGAGCCTGTTGTGGAGGGCCAGACCACCATCGGCGCCAAGTACGAGTACCGCCAGTCTGTGTTCAGAGGCCAGTTAGACACGCTCGGCAAGGTCGGCGTGTTCATGGAGAAGCGCGTGTTGCCCACGGTGTCCATCTTGTTCTCCGGCGAGATCGACCACCGCAAAAACGCGTCCAAGTTGGGTGTCGGCTTGCAGTTCGAGTCCGCCGGCAACGAGCAGTTGATGTTGATGCAGCAAGGCTTGGTCGACGCCAACGGCAACCCAGTCCCCGGCGCCCCTCAGTTGTAGGCCCTCTTTGCACGACTCATGACTTCTGTATATACTGCACGAATACACTGTACCCTCGGACGCAAGGCGTGCGGTGCGCGAGGTGTCTCACCATCCAAAGAGCCTTCGTAGCCCGGTCGCCGGCGGCTGCTTGCGGCCGTCCCGCTCGCTTAGGAGCCGGAAGACCTCTGCGGCCTCGAGCCCGTCGCTGCCGCGTGCCTGCGGGGGCTGCTCGGTGCCAAGTGCGCGTCTCGCTGCGCGGGCAACGAGTCCAGCGGCCGCCTGCCCGGACATACGATGCCGCGGCCGGCGCCCGTGGCCTGAGATCGCGGCGTGTCCGGCGCCGCGCGGCTGGCGGTCCCAGGCGCCGTGGCCGCTCCGCCGAGGCCGGGCCCGGCCCCCAGGCACACGTCCTGCCGCACAATGGACCGGTAGATCCGGCGGTACGTGGCGTCCAAGTTCGGGCCGGGGCCCTTCGCGTGCGCGCTCACCGAGTGCAAGGACCGGGAGCTGGCCAACTTGGCGGTGCGGGGCGCGACGCCCGGCTCCATCCAGCTGGACGTCGTGGAGTACAAGTCGCTGACGGACGACTGCCGCGAGCGGCCGCCGCAGCTGGTGTGGCGCGCCCTGTCGCGGCGGGCCAGCGCCGTGGGCGGGCGCCCGTCCGCCAGGGGCCCCTGCGTGGGTTGTGGGGAGGGCACCGCCGCGCCGCCGTCCCAGTCCGAGCGGATATGGCGGTGGTACTGCAACGGGCCGGAGGGCGCCGCCGAGACGTACGAGGCGCCGCGCGACGCGGGCCTGGAGGGGCTGTGCTGCACGGACCTGCCCGCCGAAACGGCCTCCTCGTACGCGTCGAGCAACGAGTCCATGGACGAGGTTTCGGACGGCGCGGCCTGGGGGCGGTGCCGGGGCGGTGCCGGCTGGGGCAGCACGTCCGGGCGGGGCACGTTGGCGGGCGGGCCCCGGAAGAACGGGTTGGTGAGCGCGCTGGACGCGGCTGCCGTTCTGGGGGCCGGCGCCTGTGGCAGGGACAGCCCTGCTCTGTGGGCGGGCCGCGGCAAGGGCCAGAGCGGGGCGTGTGCGTGCGGCGCCCCCAACGCGGCCTGCGGCGGATATACTCCGGGGCCCAGGGGCGACGCCGGCACCGAGGGCGGCGACTCCGGGATGTCGTTGAAGAGCGGCGGCCTCCGGATGTCGTTGAAGGGCGCCGGGCCCGGGATGTCGTTGAAGGGCGCCAGGCCCGGGATGTCGTTGGAGGGCGCCAGGCCCGGGATGTCGTTGGAAAGCGGCGGGTGGAGGCTAGGGGAGCGGGCGGGCGGCCCGCCTGGCTCAAGCGTCGGGCCAGGCCCGCCGGGCGGCGGCACCGCCAAGCTGGTGTACTGCACGACGCGCCGGAGCACGGTCTCCAAGCGGCAGCCCACGGCCGCGTCCGCGGCGTCGATGCTGATTTTCCAGCACCGCTGCGGGTTGGCCAACGGCAACACAAAGTCGCAGCCGCTGGTGCGGAGCACGCGGAGCCTCGGGAGGAGCGGGTACACGAAACTGCGGCCGCAGGCCACGTACGTCACGTCGCCGCCGTGGAGCTGGAAGATCTCGAGCTCGCCGTGCGCTAGAAGCGTGCCCGGCGACGCGCGCACCGGGCTGCCCGGGGCCTTGTCGTGGTACAGCACGACGCGCGCGAGCGGCGCCGTGAAGAGCAGCGTCTTCTCCTCCATGGCCTGGCCCGCAAGCATGGAGGAGTACTTGCCGTCGAGCACATCGCCCGGCGCGGGCGCGGGCGGCAGGCGCCCGCGGAGCTTTTTCTTCTCCTTGACCTCGCTGACAAACAGCGGCTCGCGCACGGCCCCGCCGCGGGTTTGGTGGCGCATCAACGTCTGTTTTCGGGGGCTCAAGCCGCCCGGTTGGGGGATGCTGGAGGCCGGCGGTAAGGGGCTCGGTAGCGGGGGCTCGGGGGGCACGAGCGCCGCCGGGGCTGAGGCAGTGCATGTTTCCGGGCCGGCCGGGGCCGGGCCCGCCGGCGGCTCGGACGTTTTCGCCGCGCCGGGGCGCTTTTTCGGTCTTCTCTTTCGGCGCCTGTCGGGTCTGCGGGGCGCCCGGCTGGATAGTGCGCGGCACAAGTCGCCAGGCATGGTGGCGGGGCAGGGAAAACGGGAGGGGCGTCGGTGCGGCGGGCGGGCCACGCGTGGGGGCGGCGGAAGACGGCGGGAGGGGCGGGGCGTCCGGTGTTGGGGGGCGGTGCAAAGAAAAGGCGCCGTCTTGGTGGAGCATGGGGTATGTTTGCAAGCGTGGTGTACGGGTGCGGCGCGCCGCGCGCTTGGCCCAGGCGAGCTGTGCCGGATGCGGCTGGTGGTTGGGCTTCTGGGAGTCGGGGGGGTAATCCTATGGGGATTCATGACAGGAAATTTGGAATGGGGATTTGTGATGGGGATCTGGGATGGGGATTTGTGATGGGGATCTGGGATGGGGATCTGGGATGGGGATTCTTCTGGGGATTCGTAATGGGTAGTCATGATGAGTATTAGTCATGGGTATTTTTATGGGTATTCATGATGGGTAATCTTCTGGGTATCCATGATGGGTATTGATGATGGGTATTTTTGTGGGTATTCTTATGAGTATGGATTATGGGTATTCGTGATGGGTACTTTTATGGGTACTCATCATGGGTATTCCTGATGGGTATTCTTATGGAAAGTCATGACTGGGTATTCATGATGGGTATTTTTATGGGTATTCATGATGGGGATTCATCATGGGGATTGATGGGGGGTATTTATAATGTGTATTCTTATGGGTATGCATGACGATTGACCGCGGGTATTCATGATTGTATTCATGATGGGTATTCTTATGGAAAGTCATGACTGGGTATTCATGATGGGTATTCTTATGGGTATTCATGATGGGTATTGATGATGGGTAACCTCATGGGGATTCATGATGGGAATTCATGATGGGAATTTATGATATATGGGTAATCTTATGGGGATTCTTTTGGGTATTCGTGATGGGTATTAATGATATGGATTCTTAGGGTATTCATGACGGGTATTCATGATGGATATTAATCATGGGTATTCATCATGGCTATTGATGATGGCTGTCCGGGACTGGGTATTCTTATCGGTATTCATGATGGGTGTTGTTTGGCCTTTTCTCTCAGGTTCATGAAGTCCTCAATTAACGGTCTCTGTATCTACCTCATACGAGTTCAATTCTATAGCTCGTATCCCAGAAATAGGGGAGACTGTGACAACTGGACCTATATATGTGGCTTCAAATTTTCAGAAGTAGAAGCAAAACCTACCAACGAGCAAAAATGGAGAATTAAAAGAGGACTGTAATTGGAACACTTTCGGGACTTTGGATATCTGCATGTATAAATCCTTGACTCCTGGAAATACTAATGAGTGATTTCAGCAGGAATTGAAATGACGTTGTGTAAGAAGATACCCTCCACTACACATCGATTTCCCTCGGGAACAGACTTGTCATTCTTATGGCTGCACTCAAACAATATCCACAAAAACGGCACGTTTGTTTTTTTTGATTATGATACCTCAGACATAGACCACACCTTTGCACACACTGATTTTCTGTAACAAAGCCATTCCACCCGGTAATTCAGGAATTTAAATAGAATTCTAAGCACTGACTGCTGTAAAACTCATTTCGTACGCTGTGTCCAATTACTATAACCGAGCTTCCAAACACCGGCATTTCAGCCACTGTTTCTGTCCAATCGGACTACTCTCTGGCGAACAAAGAATGTCGTATCACACTCTTATGGGGATTAATGATGGGTATTCGTGATGGGGATTCTTATGAGTACTCATCATGGATATTCCTAATGGGTATTCTGATGGGTATTGATGATGGGTATTAAGCATGGGTATTAATGATGGTATCCATGATGGGTATTCATGATGGGTATTCTTATAGGTATTTATGATGGGTATTCCTAATGGGTATTGATGATGGGTATTTTTGTGGGTATTCTTATGGGTATACGTGATATGTGTTGATGACGAGTATCCATGATGAAAATTCATGACTGGGTATTCATGATGGGGATTCATCATGGGTGATCTTATGGGTGTTCGTGATGGGGATTCTTATAGGGATTCGTGATGAGTATTCATGAAATGGATTCTTATGGGTATTCATAACGGGTATTCCTGATGGGTATCCAGGACCAGTACTTCTCCAAGGAAGATTTAGTGTCTGTATGTTTATTTGGTCATCCAACTGACGCATGCACGTGAGTGGGGAGTATCGCCGAATTCCATAATTCAAAAGGTCCCACTCCACTTTCAATCCCTTCAGCTTCCAAAACTCTGTCTTGGCCTCTATCTCCAAGTTATTCTTCGACTTGTCCTTCTCTTTTTCTTTTGAAGCAGCCTCCGAGCTCATGAAATCTTCCATGTTTTTGTTTGAATGCGTTGCAGGCGAGGTGTCTTTTTTTGCAGAGCAATGCTTGCAGTGGCTTTTGAAGATGTGCTCTTTTTAACATTGCATTTTTCACTGATCTTGACGGATACTAGGGCGGCTTTAGCAGTTGTTTTCAGACTCCATGTCTGTTTTGTTTTCTCTTCAGCTGAGATGTAAGTGTCGCCCTCACTTTCCGCCGTCATGTCGGAGTCATAGTAATTGTCATTTCCCCCGGCGCCGTCGCTCTGACTGTCTGAAGATTCATGATTTATGTGGGCAGAATTCACGACTTTGTCCCGGTCGTCATTGGAATCACGCCCTTTGCCTTTGTACATGATGATATCTCCAAGGATCAGCTGGCCAAGGCGGTTTTTTACAACGTGGGATTGAGCTCGTAGCACTTGGCCTTTAGCTGGAACGCACCACCAAACGTCTTCTTTAAATCCCACAAATTGTACGACGATCGCGTGATGTTGTTGTCTAGATCTGTTGGGTCCTGAATGACCATGGCAAACAGGTTGGGCTCCGTACTAAGGGCTGGCTACTGGTATTTGCACAAGCTCGCGGAGTCCCGGATTGGTCTCGAGCCAGCGCCAGATCCGGCGGGCGGCGTCAATTCCGGTTGTGCGCTCAAAAGTGGGTATTGGGTATTCATGACGGGTACTCATGACGGGTACTCATGACGGGTACTCATGACGGGTACTAATAGCGGTCACCCATGACGTGTATTCATGACTGGACTACTGTTGAATTGACTACTCTAGTGTCAATGGACATTGAATCATCAGGCAAAGTGGGCGTGACTTGAATGACCTAAAGAGGAGTATGTATGATAGTTTCCATCTGTCATAACTGATATACTGTGATCCAGAGTCACGAACTGTCTCATTTCTTTGGGCTTGATATATGTATTTATTTCATGCGAAGCCTTCAGCTGTTTCATGGAGACTTGTGTTGTGTGTTTTTAAACCAAATCATGGTGTCTAAATACTTCAACAGCTTCTTATGGGTGCAATTGAACGTCCGTAAATTCATGTAGATACGGGGTTTGAACTTCATTCTCACTGTCAAGTCACTTCTCTCAAAATTAGCTTTAAAGGAGCTATGACCCTTTGGAAAACACTTTAGTTGTTCATTCAAACATTATTTGAAGCAATTAATCTCACCGGACGCTCTTGTTTACGACTATCAGTACTTCCTTTCTATGTGTCGAATTTGACTACAAAAGATCGATAACTTAATATTTCAATTATGAATATTTAGTACCACTTCGATGGCCCATCTCATAGCGGTCAAATTTTATCAGAGTTGCACATTAAAACTGTGACTGGAAATGTTGTTAATCCTACATGAGCATATGGTATAGCTAGCTCAATAAGTTTCTTTTTTGGTATATTATTATACCTTGTCTAATTTCCATTCAAATCAAGAAAAGAATAATTTTATCACTACATAAACATTCTCGAAAAGATTTGATCATGAAACGTTTATTCAGTCAAGGTACCTTTTGATAGATCTTTAGTTTTTTGTCAAATAATGCCTAATATGCTGGGGTCCCTACACTAAAGGGTATTTCTAAAATTTCATTTCCGGGAAAGAAAAACGATCCTTTGTATTAAAGTAAAAAACTCTTTCTGTTTTTTTAATTGATTTAGAATTTTCCATTTATAAGCAATACTTGATATAAATTATAATAATTTCGCTAAGTCTGCATTAATAAAATTATTCGTCCCATTTATTTTCTGAGTAAGGGAAAAGAATGGTATTTCCGATCCTTGCAGATGAAGTCTTATATATCTTTCCTAGGGAATATTGCACTCCAAATGTCTTTTCTATCTTTACTTACTCTATATCTCTCATGCTGTAAGGCATCAGCTGGACACTGATGGTCCCTGTAAGCGCATGTATGATTATATGCACTTCTATTATTGTGAGTTCCGTCAGGTATCACTTTGAACAACTCATGGAATATAAATCTGGCTTCAGGGGTTCTTATCATGTGATCTCCAGTTAAAATATGTAAAATTGAGACAGAACTCGAGTGGAGCTCTGGAGAAAGTATTGATCAAATAGTAATACAAAACCCCTATGTCCCGTGAAGTCCCAACACATGCCTTATAATTTGAATGCAGCAAACGAAAATCGGACTTTGAAATCTTGCGTCGTCGACTCCTATGACAGTGAGTCTCCTGAAGTAGTCCCTTCGGTTTGTAAGATAGACTCCTCTGATTGAAGAAAAAAATTAAAATATAATATTGAAAAACTTGGTACAGCTCCCACGTACATAGTGCCAAAATGAGGTACATCCCCTTTTACATTGTTCTGCACTCTTGTCCTTTCTTTGAAATAAACATTATATCATATAAGAAAGCTGGAGGGATGTATAAATCCTCCACTTACAAGAAACTATAAAGATAAAACTCATACTAGATCGCACATTGGCTTAGGCTAGAAGGCGCGAGCACCAGCTCACGAAATCTCCCAAGCCCATGATGGGCGTCAGCCACTTGAATAAAGTAACTGAATGTCGTCATCCCACAGGGCATGTTTTTCTGGGGGCCCGCGACCACCATCCGTTTGACAAGGCGGCAAGACGTACATTTCTGCCATTCAAATATAGAGGTTAATTAATTATATACAAATCTTGGAAGTCTAATTATATTGTTACTCCAGATGCTAGCTATTGCAATGGTTCTTTTGCAATGCATTAGGCCACGCTAGTTCAGTTCATTTATTACTGATGGTTTTTCTGAAGTGCATATGCTTCTGGCTCAGTGTAACCGGGTCCTCAGTATCCTGTTTCTGTTTCTGTTTCTGTTTTTGTTTTCTTATGCTCGGCGGTTCATGTCTGACGTGTTATCTGATTATTGTAAAATCACGCTAAAACTGCCGGAATTATATCGAACTATGACAAATTCAGCAACAGTTTGATAAATGCGAAAAAATTCATACTTTTAGGCTTTGGTCTGCACTTCCCATGCCTCTTCCAAGACACTCCTCCATATCCACAGTCACTCCGTGATGACAATACGGTCTCTCTAGGACCACCACTCAAAGTGGCTGATTGAATGCATTTATCAAGAATCCTTTGTTCCAGGCATTTTATTCGAGATACTCTCTGTTGGTCATTACTGAACGAGCACGCCGTCTACTTCATCGAGACCTTGTACAACGTATAACCACAAAACAGTTACGGCCATGGATGCTGGGATCATAGCGTGTTTGCAGTATAAAAGAAAATATGCATGTCCAACCGAAGAATGGAGGATATGGGCTCATAGAGATGGAAATACAATTGCAGGGTCATAGGGCTGGAATATTACTCTCTGCCTTGCTCTACAAGAATTTACAATGGTCGTTCACTCCCAATGAATGTCAATATTTCGAAGCTTGGAAGGAAATTGTTCCAAGAACTTGCGACTTTCAACAACTACTGTCAAGAATGACGACAGAGAAACAACTCTCTGAGCACACTGACTGGACGGTGTCTACTGGGCCTCATCTGGGCCGCACACATAATGAGATCGAAGTCATAAAAAACGGTGTTTCGTTCATTGAACCAGGGGCGAACAGGAGAAGCTTTCACCACTTCGCCCGGGACGTTTCCTTGTAATTTTACTCGAACCGAAGGCGATGAAACGCTGGAAAATATTCGGGAAAGATTTATAGAAACAATACTGGCTGCTGCAAAAGAATCTATCCGCCATTCATCTCTTCAATGACGGCTCCTATATACCCTTTCATGAAGATATATTCGGGGAGTCACGATTTGAGTGAAGGCTGTATTTGAAACGCTGCTTTTGCGATCACAAGCATACCCGCTTCTACAATTAGTGTGGGATTGGGCACTTCTGGTGGCAAAGCATGGGCACATTGGTTTGTGGAAGTCGTCCGTTTATTTGCTTAGGGACCAGCAAAGACAAATTTACGTCTTGTCGCCTTGTCAGGAACTATGGCCACGGGCCTTTACAAAAATATTTTATGAGACGATGGCATTAGTTGATTTTGACATTGGTTATGAGCAGACATCTTTTCGACGGGAGTCAATCCTCTTTGGGAGATTTCGTGACTTGGTGCACGCGCCTTCTCTCCTGAGACAATATTGCAATATATCATAAGTTTTTTTCTCTATAGTTTTTCTTTCGTGGTGGGGTGTTGCATTCCTCCAGCGACACCCAATAACATAATGTTTGTTTAGAAGAAAAGAAAAAAAAGAACGACATCCCGCTGGTCTCGTGTTGTTCCATGCCATGAGGCCGGTAGATTGTGGTGGGGATTCGGGGTTTTTTTCTGCTGTTCTTGTTTCTTTGATGTTTTATCACGTCTCTTCTATGTCTTGTGTTTTGATTAGCTCTCTTTCTTTCAATGCTCTCTGTTCTTCTGTTTAATTCGTTCCCGTTCTCAGATTTTAGTTTTCTGCTTTCTGTTATCTTGTTCTTTTTTCTGTTATCTTTTCTGTTCCCTTTCCTCTTCTCCCCTCGTTACGTCTACATAAAATGAGAAGATTGTAACAGCCGCCAATAAGTCAGTCTTTTTTGTCAGAGGACATTGATTGATGTCCCATATTTCAAATAAAGAGGCAGAAACGTTCAAAATCTTGCAATCCTTCCCTGTCTGCTGAATTTTGATAAAGACAAAAAGTAAATTATCTATCTACTCATATTTTGATTAAAGAGTATCTCACGCTTATAACCAATTTTTTTATTTCATTACCTTTAGTCTTATCGAACCTTTTAATCGATTAATTATAAGACTCATATCATTTGTTGTTGAAACTAATCATTTGGATAATCATTATTCTTATGTCTACATATTCATCCCATATGGTTTATTTTACACATACTGCGAGCCTCAACAAAAATGTTAGTAGCTTGGGTAATTTCCGTTAACTTGGCTGTCTCAACTTGCGGTGCTGCGATTAACTAACAATTTCTATGAGACAGCTTCAAATAATTAGAACATGTACCTTTAAGTAAATTGAGCCAAGACCATATTTCCCAATTAACTGTTGCGTCTCGGCGTCGTCATTTCAAAAAATACCATGGGTAAGCAAAACGAGAAGTAGAACTCAATTACAGGAATTGCAACGTTCAGTGCGTTCGATTTACCGTTCGACACAACTATTTGAGCTGTAACCACAAGCAAATAAGGTGTCATGGAAGAATCTGCAAGCTAGGACATCACTCGACCTGGAGACTCGACCGCAAACGCAGCCGTTTCAAACAAGCTAGATGTAGATTCAATGTCTGACCATGAATCTGTAATTCAAGATGGAGTGCCCTTCGCGTTATTTAAAAAGTTTCACTGAGAATGCAAGCCAGAGCGCCCGTAATAATCTGGGTTATCAGAGCCTTGGTAAATTGTAGTAAGATGGGAACATTGGTTGCCGCTATTTGTATCTGTGTTTTTCAGTGGGGCGCCCTCATGTCGCCAAACACTCGCCGCTACCGAATACCCACTTCATCCATGTGAGCCTTGAGCTAGCATCCTGCTTTTCAGCCCGTAACATAAAAATGATAGATAGAGTATGCTGTGCGTCCATCAAAATAGCCCATGTCTATTATCAGTTCTTATCACAACGCCCCACTCCATGAGTTGCGGTCAGACAAGCCTGTGCCAATTCTTCAGGTCACTACACACTTCTTTCCAGTCTGTTGGATTCGTGCTGTGAGAACACAGTTAGGCTAGTGGATAGATCTATCTGCTCCCGGAAGCTAAGAAACCAAAGCTAGTCCATCCCATAGGTGTTTTTTTTTCTTCGAAACCACCTTGCAAAAATCACCCGAATACTTTCTTCTCTTCTTGAACGCCTCGGATCTTCTACATAACCACAAAGAATTCACCATCCCGAGGCTTAAGGAAAAGACACCTTCATGCTCTGTCATCTCAAATTGCATATCAAGTTATATGAAAATAATTCATATAACAAAGGTAGGGCTGGCAGGTGGAGTGCCTCGACGAAACCTTATTAGTCTATGCATCAAGTTGGATTCCATGATCGGCAAAACCAGCTGACCGTATTCTTCAAAAGTACATCCATTTGGCTACGGCCATTCTTCACAGCGGCTCACAAAAAGCATATGTATTATTACGTAGCAACAGACGGACGTCTTTTTCCTAACGGTTTGCTGTCTGCCAGTTAGTATCATCCCTCAATGGGTTTCTCAGCCACACCGGGCACCCTTGCCCAAGATGGTCTCTCGAAACAAAATCAGGCAAATGTCTCATGAGTCGACTCTTCTTTCAAAAGACTCGTGCACTTGAGACACAGGGGTCACCAGCTCGAGGTCCGCCAGAAAAAGCGGTCTATACGCGACGCCTCTTTCTTCCACCGCATCCTCTTCAGAGATGAAGTCGACCAAGCGCTTCAATTGATCGATCCCAGACGCCAACTTGCGCTCAATGAACAACACAACCTTCAGCGGAGGATACAACACTTTTAAGTAGCCCATAGCCAACAAGTAGCCGGCTCCAATGCCGGCCAAGTGGCCGAAAAACGAGGTCGACGGCACCAAGAAAGCAATGACAAACAAGTTGATGAATGGGAAATACTCGGTGGGGATCTGCACGTCGCGCCCGGCCACCGTGAACTGGTACAACACCGGGGTTTGCGCATACTCCTTCTGGCAGTAATAGGTCAAGAACGAGAAGCAGATTCCCAGCAAGCCTGCCACGCCGTTTTCGGGGTAGAGGAAAAGCCCCACAAGACAGTACGGCAAGGCCGCAGCCACAGCCAACAAATTCAAGGTGATGCCGGTATTGACCGTGCCGTTGGCCCTCTCATAGCGCGATATGAGCGGGAACAACGCCACCAAGTTGACTGCCAAGTGCAAGAAGTTGGCGTGCGGGAAAATATAGAACGAAATCGCGTTCAAGTTGAATTCAATGGGGGCAGAAGGATAGAGCACTAGGGCAGTGGACGACGCTGGGTACACCACATAAAAAAGCACGGCGAAGATGATCAAGCCCACCGAGAGCGCCGGCGTGGTCTTAAGGATTTGCTGCGCCTTGGTTCTGTCTGGGATTTCGACAATCATGGCGTGCTAAAATATATGTCGTGATGTAGACACTTGCAAGCGTGGCTGGGGCATCCTCGCGTTTCCTTCTGCTGTTCACACTGCATAGGGCCGGGTGCGCGTAGTTTTTTTGTTTTGCTCAATAGGTGGTCGATACTTCGGGCGGGCAGAGCGCGCGTGGCACTTTGGCAGGGCCTGGGCCAGGCTAATAAAAAAGGATGGGGCCACGAGCAACATGGTTCATTGCTGGGAAAAAAACACATAACTTGTGGGTACCAAATTCAAGTGTGGCATTGATAGTGGTGGGCCGTTTTTTTTGGGCTGGACTGGAGCTGATTTTGTGCTGATTTTGTGCTGCTTTAGGAAAAGTCCAATGTCTTTTCTGACGTCTGGACGCTGCCCTAAATTCGAGCACTGCCGTAGCATTCTGGCACACTCTGGCGTCTCACCCAGGTCCATAGAATGCCGACAGGCACACTCAAATAAAGAAGAGAAAGCCTGGTATACAGAGCAGTATTTCTTGGGGAAGTGCCCAAGGCACCGGACGAAACAGCATCTGACAAAGCATGGTCAATGAGGCACGTGACCAACCAGGCACACTGATTCTGTCGTTTTTCTTCTGGGCCCTGTGGATGTACTTTTTGTAGATGACTAGATGAAAAGGCCAGTCTCGTCAATGCTGAAACAATTGCGGTGTCATCATGGGCAACACATTGAAGTGCTGGCGTTTCAAACATCTGTATGTTGATCGACGGCCACAGCCTCCTCAGCCTTCCTTAAATCTCCAACCCAGTTTTGGGATCGTAGGCGTGATCTTGAATCAGTTGAGTATCCAAATTGGCTGCATGGCCTTTTTGCTGGCCACGCAGTCTGCTGTGTTTATCGAGTGCACATTGCGGGAATCGGCTCCAAGTCAGTCTTCGAACCATGCTCAAACCATGCACAGAAATGCGTCGTCATGAGCCACAAGCATTCGCTCATAGTTTCTAGCATTTGAGTGATAAAAGAAGGTATTCAATAGCAACGGTTCGAGTAACACGAGATATATTTCTGGCCCGTCTTGGACCAGTAAGAGCAATCGGGCGAACAACATTAGCAAATCCGTTGCTTGTAGTCATGATAGTGGCAACATTCTGAAATTCAGAGCTCATATGACTTGCAACCAGGCGGCGCCAGTTCCATCGATATTTCAGAACTCCGTTTCCAGAACATCCACTGTGATAACCGGCGACTCTGGGTATATTTCAGCACACCAGCTTATTTCCACAGACGCATTTCCGGCCACATGCCCGCAACCAATGTTCATGGGTTTATCAACACGCATCAGGAAGGTCAATATTGATTCTCTTAGAGGCCACAAGCAGTCCATATGCAAGTACATATGAAGAGCCGCAGCCCATGTTGTTTCCGACACTTGTCCTGAATTTCTTTCAGAAAAGCAGCCCCACCAGAATATACCTGGCAGCTTCCCGAAACTGTCCTGGCCACAAGGTACACGGCATCATGGCTACTCTGCGCAAATACTCTCACACCAGAGAAGAACCAGCAGCCACATTCAGGCCTGGCATAAAAATGCACAACTTAAAAAACAACTGCTCAATCCAGAGCCTACTCCTCCCTCAAGTCCGCAAGGACGCGGCTCTTGAAGTCCCGGAGAAACGAGGCTCGACGGGCGTTGCAATCCTTCAACACCTCGATTTTCTTTTGCCGCTGGTCGACGGTTTCGCAGATCCCATCAATTTCCTGGAGATGCAGGCGGATGGTGTTGAGCTTTAGGCGGATCGGGCCCGCATGGTTATCGAAATCCTGGCCCTTGATGTCGCCGGTCGCTACTCTTTGAAGAAGCGCAAACAAGTCCGGGAGAAGCTCGATTTGCGCCAATTTTTCCAAAACGGCCGCATCGTCACGTTTCTGGGCATTTCCGTTTGGGGCCGTGCTAGTGTCGGCGACGGGCGATGGTGATTGTGGTGCTTTTTCCATTATGCACAGTATTATCTGTGGTGGAAAAGTCGTATTGGATAGGCGAGCACGATGGCTGGCTTTTCGCGGCGCGGGCCCGGAGGCTCGGCCAGATCCATATATTATGGAAAGAGCCTGAAGTAGGATAAATTCGATTTTGGAATTTCGGGGCCGTTCAGATAGTCTTTGTTATTTCCTGGCTCGTGTGCTGAAGTATGGGAAGAACTATAAATTTTATTGTACCGCCATTAAGCAGTGTACTCATGCCTTAGAATACGCTATGTATTGATTAGGTCTAGCGACACAAGGCCAAGACACACCACATGGTTTGCACCAGCGCTTCACAATACTTTTCGAGGAGCTTGCTCGGAAATAATGGCATGTCATATTGTCTACATATTACTATATATAAACGCCCCGGTGTCACTGGTTTATCGTAAGGAAGTCAATGAGCGAGCCCAGGACAAAAATACAGAGATTGGGCACCAATTTCAATGTGAATAGAGAGGCGAACAGATAATTCTGGGCTTGCAATCAGTCCTGTGCTGGTCTAGTCAGATATGGCGCATGGTGTCTCCAACTTTATATTTGCAAATACATTGATTGGCCACATAGTCCAGCCCAGCAACATGCGGGGAATGGGTGCGAAAAGGCGGTGAGACATAATTCAGAAAAACCAGTCCGCATCTTGTTTCCTGGCCGTTTTTTCTGAGAGCTAACATTAAGCGAGAGAGCCTTGAAAAAAAACATTAGACAATATTCTACTAGATAATTTGGACGGCTTCCCAACACATTCGATCATATCATAAGTGCGTTGCGCAGAAACATGCTTCTCTTCTATCGCTTGTCTCTACCTGAAACTTCAACTTTGCAAAGAGAGAAGATGTCGTATTACTATGCATTTTTTCTGGAGCACAGCTGCATCTCGTGGGCAGGAGCAGCGTCTTCTTGCAAACGCAGTTCTCAAACATCACATATCGGCTGTCTTATTCTTTGAGACAATTTTTGTGGCGACCGAAATTTGAGGAGAGAAGTCGATTTTCATTGATTCGGAAATATGGCCCTATGTGTGCAATGAGTCCAGGGCCAGTTCTAAGCTTACGAAAACTTCGGCATTTTACGATGATATTGGAACGACGTTGTAAGGACAAATCTTTCGGGTATTAGTTGCTTCAAGTGAAGTCATTACAATGCATACAATTCCAGTACTCTTTTAGGGTATTCTGGCTAATGACTTTTCTATGCCTCTGATGAATTCGGGCTAATGATTCTTCATGGTTCTCCTAGGGGATTTTTCTGTTAATACATGATTCGTTTTGAAGCTGGTCCTTTCCCGGAGCTTGACTTCAGACAACAATTGGCTAGAGTCTGTATATCAGCTCATGGATCAAGGTACAGTAAGATGGGTTAGTGGATCGAAGTTATGACCCATCTGTTCTTATTTGCAAAGACTGCTCTGAAATTCTATTTGAGGTTTAATATACACTTCTGACGGGTGCCCATAGAAACTTGGGATTGACTGTTTTTAATGCTACGAGAAAAAAGCGGTGGGAGCCCTTTTTAAGAACCAAGGGCCGACTTCTGATTACCCCATCCGCGATAGGCCTAAGGTTATCAATGATTCTATCCCAAACACGCGGTGGGATGCAGGGCTCACGGGACTTCCAGGAGATATTGGGAGATTCTTAGTAGGTATTTTTATATTCCCCACTTACTAACTAGAGAGCCAAAACCAAATCGATAAGGTCTGGAATCGGGGGTGGTTACTACATGGCCTGCCATTTCTTCTGGTATAGCGCTCCTGGGCTCACTGCAAAAGAGCCGAAATTAGAAAAACCTAGTCATAATTAAGAAGAGTTGTCCCGAATAACCAAAATGTTGACCATTTTGCTGGTCCGCCCCAGACAATACAGTATTTCGTGAAAAATGGCGATGAAGTTCTGGAAGGAGACTGAACCCTTTTGGCCGGTGCCAGAAAAGCTATCGCTGGTCCTACTGCGGGAGAATTAAAGAAGGAGAACGGGCATTACAGAGAGAATGACAAAGCTTTATAATGGCGGCAAGATACTGAGGAGGTACTAGGAAAGCACTTATAAAGAGGAAAAGAGCACTAAGAAAACACAAAGCAACAAAGAAGAAGGCACTAAGAAGGCACCAAAACTGACTAGCTAACATTGGAAAAGACATAAGTAAAGCACGGAGAAAGCAGCAAAAACCCACTAAGAGAGGCACTAAGAAAAACCAAAAAGCAAAAGAAAGACATAAAAAGGCACTAGAAAAACAAAACCAAGGTGGCAAGATCTCTAGAAAAACCTTAAAATGGGATTATGAGGGCACTAAAAAGCCTCCAAAATATACCAAAGAGGCAATACAAACGCACTATGAAACCACTACAGAAGTACTATAAATTCATTGAGAACGGAATTAAAAACCGCAAAGGAAATACCAAGAGAGCTTTTGGGTAATATGGGCTAATTAAGCACAAGGAAGACCCAGAATAACACGAAGAATCACGAAGAAAGAACCCCCTTTAAAAAGAATAAGACAAAGCAATGGCAATGGACATATAGAGGAATAAGAGGCACTAAACAGATACCAAACCGACTATACAAAGTAAATGTAAAGGCCACAAAAGACCCCGAAAAGCGCTATACTAAGAAAGCACTAAGGAAGCTCAAGTAGAGGGCGTATAAAGCACCATAAGCAGTGAGCAAAGTACTAGAAGAACGAAACAGCAAAACAAAAAAGACGAATAAAATAAAAACGGACGAATGAAACAAAAACAGTGCCACGAAAGAAGTCACAAAGCAATAAGAAAGCTTTAAGAAAACACTGAGACGCACCAATCAAGCACATGTAACGCGCTATAAACGGACCAAGAAAAGCACTAGGGCAACAAACAAAGCGCTAGTAAAGCTGTGAAAGAATAATAAAAAGACTTAAGAAGGGAATGGTCAGATATTTCAAAAGCACTTTAAAATGTTTTTGAGCACCCCGACACACTCTCAAAGCACTCCATATCACTAAAACGCAATTTCAAAGAACAAGAAAGCGCTATTAAGCTACTGCAAAGCACTACAAAGCACTAAGACAGTGCTACCAAAACACTCGCATGGCATAGAAGACACCACGAGAGCACTACTAGAGCATTTCAAAGTAGTCAAAGTAGTCAAATTTTTATGTGTTTCAAAGCACTCCACAGCACTACCAACAAAATGGCACCACAAATCGCCACACCAAGGCCAAAAAGGCACTAAAAACCACTTCAGAGCACCAAAAACATTTGAATGTATTTCAAAGCGCTCAAATCATGTCCACTCCAAGTCAAGGCACTATAAGTCATTTCAAATCTCTATCAAAGCAGTATCAAATTACAAAACGGGCCTACGACAGCACTTCAAAGCACTACAATGCACTACAATACACATCAGATATTCTGGAGTGTTTCAGAATGTTTAAACCACTACGAGGAATTTCAAAGCATTTCGGAACCACCAAAAATACTACCAGAGTACTTATATTCACTTCAACCCCCTTCAAAACACTATCAAAGCACTCCAAAGCACTCAAAGCCACTAAAACCAGTACAACCTACTACGAAGCACTTAGAAGCCCTTCAAGACACTAGAAGTTACACAAAGTTTTGCAGTGATTAGACAGCTGCAAGCCACCTACATCACTGCAAAGCAAACAAACCACTACAACAAATTTCAAAGTGTTCCTGAGTATTTGAAGAGAACTTACAAATTTCTCAAGGTATCTTGACTTCAGAGAAGTACTGAATTAGCTTCAGGCCACTATCAAAACACCATCAAAAAGGCACTTTTAACCTCTTCAGATAATTATGAAGAATTCTAAAGCACTTTAATCTACCACATTCACTTAGATACTCACAAACTTTCAACCCATTACGAATAATTTCAAAGAACTCAAAAGCATTACACATAATTTTAAAGTTTTAAACCCCTACATTCCACCACAAAGCCCTTTAAAGCACTAAAACAATCAAAGCTTTTTAAATCACTAGACACCACTTCAAAGCACTACAATCACCATCTAAGTAAAACAAAACACTACAATTCACCACAAAGCAAGAACACTACAGCCCACTTCAAGCCACTGCAAACTATTTAAGCCACCACATACTACCTCAAAGCATTTCAAAACACTAAAAAACATTTCGCAGTATTCAACCCCTACAAATCACTACAAACCATTCTAAACTACGACAATTAAGTTCAAAACCGCAGTAATTTCAACACATTTTAAATTAATTCAAGCCACTTCAGAGCACTGCAAAGAATTGCGCAGTATTTTAACCCACCTCAAAGCTTTAAAAAGATATACAAAGTATTTAACCCAGTCCAAACCACCTCAAAGCACTACAAAGTATCTCAGCCACTACAAAGCATTTTAAACCACTACAGATATCACGCAGTATTTAAACCACTACAAACCACCACAATGAACTTTACAGAGTTTCAAAGCCTTTCAAAGGATGTCAATACACTTGAACACACTGCAAACAATTTTGCGGTACTTGAACCCAGTACAAAGCACTTCAAAGCACTAAAGAACAATACAAGTGGCTCAAACACATCAGACCCTGATCTTAATTAAAAGACAGTACTGAGCACTTCAAAGCACTGCAACCACGTCATAGTATTCAAACCACCACAATCCATGTCAAAGCATACAACGCACCTCAAACAACCACAATCCAGAGGACTAGAAAGAACTCCACGGTGCTTCACAGTATTTCATTCCAATTCAATCCACTTCAAAGCACCAGAAATATTCCGCAGTATCTGAAAACCTTTCAAAGTATATCAGTCCACTTCAAAGCACTGCAAATAATTTTGCAGTATTTAAACCCAGTTCAAAGCACTACAAAGCACTACAAAACCATACAAGTGATTCAAACACATCAGACCATGATCTAAACTAAAAGACACTACTAAGCACTTAACGGGGTCATAGTATCTAAACCACACAATCTACTTCAGAGCATACAAGCACTTCAAGCAAGTACAAATAAGCCCATAGCCCGAAAAAAAATTCAGCAGTATATCAAATCATTTCAAAGTACTTCAACCCACTTCAACGCACTGCAAATAGTTTCGCAGTATCTAAACCCAGTTCAAACCACTACAAAGCACTACAAAACCATACAAGTGATTCAAACACATCAGACCATGATCTAAACTAAAAGACACT